GTTCAAGGCCATCTTAGCAACTTAACAAGACCCTATCTCAAAATAAAAAATACAGAGGGCTGGGATGTAGCCCAGTGATGAAGCACTTCTGGGTTTAATCCCTGGTACAAATTTAAAAAAAAAAATCTATATTAATTTTTTTTTGCAGTGTTAGGGATTGAACCCAGGACCTCATCTATGCTAGCCAAGTAGCCAAGTACTTTACCACTGAGCCACATCCCCAGGCCTTAAAAAATTTCAAGTGGTTTTTGGAAGCAGTAATGCATGTGTATGATGTGCAGTTCAAAGATGTTTGAGAACATGCAGTGCCGGGCTCCTGACAGCACTCTGCTCTTGAGGCTCTATTGTGTTTTGTTTTCTTTAGTCACAAAGTGCAGACGTTCTTCCGTACCTTTTTTCCCTATTCACTTAGTATATCCAGAAGGAAGTTCCGTGTCAGGAGATAAAAGACTTTTCCTTTTTATGTGGTGGCTGCACAGTGCCACGGATGGGCTGTCATTATTTAACTAGTGCTCCCTACCCCCACTGGGCTTTTGAGCTGCTCAGATGTGAGCTTTCCTTCTAATTGTGAAGCTAACGAGTTCAAGGACTAGTGGAGTGGTAGCTCTCTACTTCCATGTCTCAATTTTCATTAGCTGTGTCTTCCTGGATTTTATGTTTGTGACTTTTTGGTTTTCTTTTTGTTGTTTTCGTGCTAGAGATGGAACCCAGGACCTTGAGTATGCAAGGCAAGCACCCCACCAATGAGCCACAGCCTCAGTCTCACCTTCTTTTTTTTTTTTTTTAGAGAGAGAATTTTTTTTTAATATTTATTTTTTTTAGTTTTTGGCGGACACAACATTTTTGTTTGTATGTGGTGCTGAGGATCGAACCCGGGTAGCACGCATGCCAGGCGAGCGCGCTACCTCTTGAGCCACATCCCCAGCCCCAGTCCCACCTTCTTATATGTGTATGTATTTTTTGGTTGCAGATGGACACAATGCCTTTATTTTACTTATTTAGTATTTATATGGTGCTGAGGATGGAACCCAGTGCCTCACATGTGCTAGGAAAGCACTCTACCACTGAGCCACAACTCCAGCTCTTCTTGTTTTTTGAAGCTGGAAATGGAATCCAGGGCCTCACATAAGCTGAGCACATCCCCAGGCCAGTGAGCCCTTTTTCTGAGATTTAATTTAGACTTTAATCGTATAATTTTTTTTTTTTTTTTTTTGGTAGTGGGGATTGGGAACTTGGGGTCACTTGACTATTGAGTGACATTCCAAGCCCTATTTTATATTTTATTTAAAGACAGGGTCTCACTGAGTTGCTTAGCGCCTCACTGTTGCTGAGGCTGGCTTTGAACTTGCCATCCTCCTGCCTCAGCCTCCCGAGCCACTGGGATTACAGGTGTGCACCACCATGCCCAGCTAATTCACAAATTTTTTTAAAAAATATTTATTTTTTAGTTGTAGTTGGACACAATACCTGTATTTTATTTATTTATATGTGGTGCTGAGGATCGAATTCAGGGCTTCGCACGTGCTAGGTGAATACTTTACTGCTAAACCACAACCCCAGCCCTAAATCACAAATTTTAAGTGCACACCTTGATGTTTTTATATAACTGCGTGGAACCTCTGGATCACTGAATAGATCAAGATTTAAGATGTTTTCATCAAACCAGAAAGTTCCCTTATTCCCCTTACAGCCAGTCCCCCTAAAGGAAACCCTCTAGTGCTCTGATTCCTATCACCAGAGACTTGTTTTGCCAGTTGAAGTTCAAATCCGCCCTATGACTCAGCTGGAGAAACAAGGGCATATGTCTTCAAAAGATGTGTATAGGAATATCCAGAGCAGCTCTCTTTGTTACAGCCCCAGACTGGGAAGACCCCAGTCATCTCTGTCAGCTGATGAAAGGATGAACACACCGTGCTTCATCCATGTAACGGGACACGGTTTGGCAATGAGAAGGGATGAATTTCTGTCTCGCTGGATATGACAGAGGCACTGCACCGATGTTGGTGACTGTCCTTACACACTGTCCTAGCCATTGAGCATTCCTCTTCTGTGATTAGAAAACAGTCAACAGGGGCTGGGGTGGTGGCTTAGCGGTACAGCACTCGCCTGGCACGTGCGAGGCACTGTGTTTGATTCTCAGCACCACATATAAATAAATAAAATAAAGATCATTGACAAAAAACCGGTCATCAAAGGGGGTGTAGTGGAATTGGGGACTCTTGTGAAGGTGGCACACTGTCATTGCTTCTACTAGTTACTGTGTTAGCACCCATGGTTTCTGAGATGCCACCTATATACAGGGTGCCTCCCATTCCTGTCTCTTGTGTCCTGCATTTGAGTCTTTGTGAGGCCCCAGGAAGGCCTGGGCCAGGGCTACATGTGATAGCCTCCAGGTTGAGTCTCCTCAGCAGACCTATGGTGTCCTCTGAAGAGTCTAATGTCCCTGTGTCCACTGTGAAGGGGAGACTGGGCCCTGTCTGGATGCAGTGGTGAAGAGCTAGTGTTGAGTTCTGATGACCCACAGTGGTCTCCTGGCTCTTTCTGTCACACTGCCCCTCCACACCAGGGCTGCATGTGTCTTGACCCTCGTTCCACCTTCTCAGAGAGTCCTGTTTGACCAGCCCAGCCCCCAGCCCTAGAGTCACCCCTGAGCAGAGGACCTTGGCTGAGGTATAGGATCTGGCTCAGTCTCCTCACTGGCCAAATGAGGGACTACCGGGAGTAGAGGACTACTCAGTGTATCGCATGAAGTGGGGCATGCAGTGTAGAGTGCTCAGGGCAGGGCAGGCAGGGTCTTTGGGCTCTGTCATCCTCTGGAGTATGACACCATAACCCCTAGTACCCAGGGTATGTAGAGCTGACTTTGCGCCGTAAGGCTGCAGGGGATGAGGTACAGAGCTGGCATGTTTCCTTGGGGTATTTTCTTCTTACAACTGGTGTTTAAAAAGCTGACATTTGGGCTGAGTATGGTGGTGTGTTGCCGGCAAACCAGAAAGCTGAGGCAGGAGAATTACAAATTTGAGGTCAGCCTGCACAACTTGGTGAGACCCTATCTCAAAATAAAACTAAAAGGCTGGGGCTGTAGCTCAGTGGAAGAGCACTTGCCTAACCCATGTGAGGCGCTGGGTTCCATCCTCGGGACCACGTAAAAATAAATATATAAAATGTATTGTGTGCATCTACAACTAAAGAAAAAATTTAAAAAATTAAAAAAATAAATAAAACTTAAGGGGCTAAGGGTATAGTCCAGTGACAGAGCACTTGCCTAGCACGTGAGACTCTGGCTTCAATCTCTAGTGCCACAAAACCAAAAAAGTCCCCCACAACATGACATCTGTTATCATCAAACCCCACCAGTGGTGAGCAGCTTCTTCATTGTTACTCCCACGCCCCCCCTTCAACATCACCCCTGCTGAGTCTGTCAACTGGACGAATATTCTGGAACTTCAGTGCCTGGTTCTGCTGCTAATTAACTGTGTCTTCATGGGTGCTTCCAGAACTCTGATGCCTGTGGAGATCCCCATAAGGATGCAGGTCATGTGGTCACTGCCATATTCCTGCATCCAGGAAAAAGAGGTGCTGCATAGCATGCTGGGATGGCCACAGGCTGACAGATTCACAGCTCACTATGCACCTTGCTTGGCAAGTGTACCTCTCCACTCACCTTCTGTACACTGGTTTAGGATTCTGACCTCTGTCTAGGCTTGAGAACCAGCACTCTCCTTTGGAACCCTCCAGGATCCCAATCTAGGGCTTTCCAACCCGGGGAGGGCACCTCCTTGCTGGGGAGGGCATAGTACTAATGGCATTTGGTCTACATCTGGTTGAGAACTGGGATCTGGTGTCTGTCTTGCCATGTGTGGGATGTACAAGCCCAGCACTGATTATCCTGTGTCCTGTATGAATTTTGGACAGTCTTCTAGGTATAAATCTTGTTTAAAATTCCCTGTGCCTAGCTGGGCACAGTGGCACACACCTGTAATCTCAGTGGCTCAGGAGGCTGAGCCAGGAGGATCTTGAGTTCAAAGCCAGCATCAGCAATGGGCAAGGCACTAAGCAACTCAGTGAAAGCCTCTCTCTAAATAAAATACAAAGTGGGGCTGGGGATGTGGTTCAGTGGTTGAGTGCCCCAGAATTCAATCCCTGATACAAAAAGAAAAAAAAAATTCCCTGCACCTAAAACCTTTTTCATGTAAAATAAGAGGCTTTCACATTGCTTTAATGTCCTCTAAACGTGTGAGTCCTTCCTAAGGTACCACTTGGGCATTCTCGCTTTCCTTTTTTTAAAAAAAAAAATTTTGGTACCAGGGATTCAATTTAGGGGCATTTAATTACTGAGCCACATCCCCGGCTGCCCCCTTTTTTTGTATTTAATTTAGAGACAGAGTCTCACTAAGTTGCTGAGGCTGGCTTTGAACTCGCAATCCTCCTTCCTCAGCCTCCCAAGCTGCTAGGATTACAGGCATGCACCACTACGCCCAGCTCACTTTCCATTCTTTTAATTTTATTTTGAGGCAGGGCTTTGCTAAGTTACCCAGGCTAGCCTTTAACTTGCAATCCTCCTGCCTTAGCCTCTCAAGTCACTGGGATTACAGACATGCATCATTAAACCTGGCTTAGATTTAATATTTTGGACATGCAATGTAATTTGCTGTCAACTACTTTTATTTTGCCTTTTTATCGTACTTGTGGCACTGTAGTAACTTAAAATAGGTAGAAAATATACTGGGGGAGGTTGTCCAATTACTTTCTAAGGAGAGGGCCCTCTGGGAATGCTGGTGTTGGGACATAGCCTGCCAGAGGGAAAGAGGTCTATCCTCATGGCCTTTGGTCCCTCCTCTACCCCTTTGACCTCAGGACCCTCTAAGATCAGAGTGTTCTCCAGAGATTGGTATCTTTGCCAAAGTTTGCAAAAGCGAGTTGCTCCACTGGTTGCAGTCACACTTCCTGCCCCTTCAGCCTGACATGTGAGTCATTTCTGTTCCTTTGTTCTCTCACAGAGACTTCCTTCCCCGTGGATCAGGAATCGTCACCCGGAGGCCTCTCATTCTGCAGCTCATCTTCTCAAAAACAGGTATACTATGGTGCCCAGGAAGAGCTGGGGCTTAGGGTGGAATCCTGGGTTCTGGGCTGTCATTTGGGTTTGAATTCACATATCCCACATGTAGGGAAGTTGAAAAACAGTTCAGTGAATACCCACACCCCCAGAGTCCTCAACTGCGACCAGGTCCCTGGGTGTCAGAGATCCTTTCTAACATGTTTGTGCTGAATCCTTTCAAAATCATGAGCGCACTTCAACCTGAAATGCCTCAGCACACTTCTGTGCAATGAGGACACTTTCCTGTGTCATCACAGAACCAGGCCCAAGAGAAGGAATCATCGCTGCCTGTTGTCTGAGGCGCAGTGCATACTCACAAATTGCCAATAAGCCCCAAATATCTTCTATAGCTGGTTTTACAGTCAGGGAAACTGAGGCTTAGCCAGTTTACCTGCCTTTCTAGTGAGTGGCAGATCTGGGATTCTCACCTGGGCATATCAAAATCCCACCTGGGACCCGGCTCCTGGCTGGACCTTCTCACCTTTCTCCCTTGACTCTGCTTTGCCCAGCATGGGGTGTGTAGCTCCAATGGGAGGTGGCAGGGGATTGGCCCAGCTCTTCCTCTTTCTGAGCTGCACCCTGGGGTATAGGTCACAGGTGGGCCAGTGGACTGCTACTTCTGGATTGGGCACCCAGACAGCTGTGCTAGTCCAGTGCAGTGGCAGAGCTGCTGGTTTCAGATGTTAGCCCTGAACCAAGTCCCTAGGAGGTTTGACCTACACTGGGTCTCTGTTTCCCATTCAACAAGTTGGGGTGCGGGGGTGAAGATAAGCATTTTTCATGTGTTTCCAGGGTATGTTTCTGCCGTTACAGCTGCTGCTGCTGCTGGCTCCTAGTGGCACTGGAAAGCCTGCACTGGTGGATGGGGACTAGGAGCTGGGACTGTCCAGGTTCCCATCCTGGTTCCTGGGGTGGGCCCCCTATTCAGGATCTTGTCTGTCTTTACCTAATGCTGGCACACACCAGACCTTGCCGCGCGCTGCTACCCTGATGGCTGTGGTTTTGTGCTTGTTGCCGGTGTGTCTTAGGGTGGCATTAGAAAGCAGGTCAGCTTCCTGCATTGAAAGTCACTGCCAGTCTTCATGGCAGGTTGAGGGGTGGCTCCCTTATCACTGAGTCCATCACCCACCAGTGGGATTTGGATATACTCGGGGGTAGAGGCCCAGGGAGAACATTCTAGGAGGGGCAGCGGCACATGCAAAGCTGGGGTGGGAGGCTGTGAGGTGAGGGTGGGGTCCAGGAGGCAGGTGGGACATGACCAAGAAGGCATGGTAAGGGATTCAGGCAGCCAGAGCTAGGATGGCAGTGGGATGGAAAGAATGGCTCATTCCTCTGGGGGAGGGAGAGACAGCATGGCACCAGGTGAGTGGTGATGGAGCCAGCCTAGGCAGTGCTGTGGTGGTGAAGGGCAGCCTGGAGGGGCCTCCAGGCCAGGCACCAGATGTAAGAGGAGCCTGGGCTTGGGGAGACAGGATACTAATAGTAGGAGGGAGGAGATGAGCACCCTGTGGGATTCTGTGGGGTGCTGAGGGGCTACGCAGGGCTGTGTTGCTCCTAGAGGTGAAGTTCTGGGGGCTGAGCTCCAGAGCCAAGCTGTTCACATGCTTACTAGCCAAAAACTTGAGCAGGCAGCTTTCCTTTCCATACTGCAGTTCCCTCAACTATAAGTGGGTGACAGTGTGCCTCCCTCATGTCCTTACTTGGCCGTGGCCTATCTGTGTCTTCCTGTGGGGTCCAAAATGCAAAGACATGGCCCCTGAAGCTGGGTCTGGGTCCTTCTGTGTGACTCCTGAAACTCCCAAGGTTGCAGGTTTCTTGTTCAGTCTGGTCTCAGTGAACCATTACTTTTAACCAGTGAAGTTTAAAAATTACCCAAGACCGCAGCCAGCAGGATTTTAGTGGTCCATGGGTGAACCTGCCTTCACTGGGAATTACCCTTGAGCCTCGTAAACTCTGCGTGCTAGGGACTCTTCTGTGTGGAATGTGGGTGACATGGCCTGCTGAGCTCCCTGCCCCCGGTCTTGACTTTGACTTTGGTCTGTCCTCACAGAAGTCAGAGAAGAGATGTTAGGATTTGACTCCCAGGCTTCCCATTGGCCTCAGAATAAAATCCAGCCTCCTCCTCAAGGCTTTGTGGCTTTGACCTGTTCCTTCTGGTCTAACAGCCCCTCCTGGTCTGTGGCTGCCCTACAGTCTCCCTCCTGACCTCAGGCTCATTTGTTCTCCACCTCTAGGCCTTTGTGCTCACTGTGCTCTCTGCCTGGAGTACCCTGCCTAGATTTTCCCCTCTGCTAGGTGACCCTCACCCCTCCTCCATCCTGGCTACTTGCTGCCTTAGTCCCCACGGCTTGCATCCCGTGGCACCATCCTGTTCTTGTGTGTTTGCCTTGGTTTCTCCCTACTGCGGTGTCAGTGCCCCAGGCCTTCATGCTGATCCACTTAGTTTCCTACTCTTCCCTTGTGCCCAACACAGGGCCCAGGCCAGCACCAGGCATGGGCTGTGTCTTGGGTGCTGTGAGGACCTCTGTGTGCCCCTTCTCTTCCAGTGGAAAATGGGCTAAACTAGGCATGGTGACACATGTAGCTCCAGCTACTAGGTAGGCTGAGCACAGGAGTTCAAGACCCCATCTCAAAAAAAAAAAAAAAAAAAATAGCTGCGGTTGTCAGCCACTCTTTATCTAGCACTTTCTTCCTGGGCCATGCACTCCCCCACTTCCCCAGCATTTTAACACTTTTCCTGGCCATGGTAAACCTGCCTGCCCATCTGTCTATCCTTCCCTTCCCCTTCCCCTTCCCCTTCCTTCCTTCCTTCCTCCCTTCCTTCTTTCTCTTCATCCTTTTTTTCCTTAGGAATTGAACCTAAGGGTGCCCTACCACTGAGCTATAGCCCCAACCCTTTTTATTTTTTCTTTTGAGACAGGATCTTGCTAAGTGTCCTTCTGCTTTGGCCTTCTGAATTTCTGGGATTACAGGTGTATGCCACTGTGCCTGGGCTTAAGTGTGACACTGTCCTTAAGTGTGACAGTTTCCATCAGTGTGAGTCAGGTTGAAGACTGAGTCCTGGGTGGGTCCCCAACAAGAGACTAAGTATGCTGGTCTCTGGGTGCTCTTTTCTCTAAGAGGAAATGGCCTGGAGCTAGCATGGCTAGCTGGGGACTGTTGGGATGCCAGCTTACATTTGTAGTGTGTCCTCTTTTGGGAGATCTTGCCCACTTATCTCAAAGGGAGTTAAAGGGCCAAGTGGGATTGGAAGTGCTGTGTGCTGTACCCTACCCTGTCTTGGGTGGCTAAAGTCTCTGGAAAGTTCTGCATAAACGGATCCTGTTTGACTGTAGGGTACACAGGGTCTCCCAAGTGTGTCTGAGCCCCGAGTCACTCATGCCCAAGCATGCCTATCACAATGCCAGATCGAAGGAAGGCAGATCTTGTCTTTCTTCTGTCAGGAACCAGCCTGGTGGTTTTGTTCTTTGCTTGGCTGGGAGTGGGGGAGGATGGCAAGCTCCCCTCTGTGCAGAGACCCTCTGTGCAACATGCTCAGACCACGGGACGGTCTGTTGAGTTCCCCTAAGACTGACACCTAAAAAAAAAGCTGCCAGCGGGCTTCCTGTGCACCCACACCCAGATTTGATTACATTCTCATAGCACTAGTAATAGCTTTGGATTTTGTGCTGGCTTTTGCATTGTAGGGAAACTGAGGCACTGAATGAAGGACCGAAAGCCTGGGCTGGGTGTGGCTAGGCTATGGAGCTTCATAGTGCCAAAGCACTTCCACCTCACACTTTTTTTCCAAGTCCTATTGGGGTACCTGAGGACCCCACTTAATGTAGATTTCTCAGCAGAACTTTGACCTTTGTGACTTCAAGGAAATACTACTGGACATGTGTCCAGGTGTGTCTTTAGGATAGGGAGGCCATCCTCTGATTACCTGTGGCCTTCTTTTAGATCCTTTAAAACAAGAGAGCTCCAGTGGAAATCCTTGTGGGACATTGATCTCAGTCAAAGGGCTACTTCCTTGTGTCCCAGGTGGAGATGGGCTGCTGCGAACAGTGGGAATCCATTGGGGGATCACAGTGATGATATCCTCCTGGGCCAGAGCATCTGATGCTTTGTAATAGATTGGCTCATACATGTTTATTAAGCAGCTATTGCATAATCAGATGCTGGGGAGTGCAAAGCCCTTTGCTCTTTTTTTTTTTTTTTTTTAAGAGAGAGAGAGGAGAGAGAGAGAGAATTTTTTAATATTTATTTTAGTTTTCGGCGGACACGACATCTTTGTTTGTATGTGGTGCTGAGGATCGAACCCGGGCCGCACGCATGCCAGGCGAGCGCACTACCGCTTGAGCCACCTCCCCAGCCCAAGCCCTTTGCTCTTGAATTCCAGCTTCTGTGGAGGTAGATAGGCCTGGAAGGAGAGCAGAACCTCACTCTAGAAGAAAATCACAAGGGCATCCACCAAGCTCACCATTTGGCCACTATCAGGAAGCCCAGCAGTGGGCCAGGGTCTTGTTTCTTCCTTCATTCCTGCTGTGTGCCAGGCCCTGGGCTGGGGCCTATGGAGCTAAGAGCCTTCTAGAGGTACCAGCCTGGCTGAGAGCACAGCAGGCAGAGGGGAGAATACACTGCTGCTAATAGGGTATGTGTCATTGTTGAAAGGCCACACCATTAGCCCAGGGGCCAGAGGAACTGGCTTTATCACCTGGAAGTACTGCGACCAGGGAATGAGTGAGGAGTGCAGTCCAGCAGCAGGGACTAGGATGGGCAGTGCTGGCAGTGGCTTATGGCTTGACCTTGGCAGCTGGGGACAAGTCAGTCTTAAGGCCTCTGAGTTCTTTCTTTCTATGTGTCTACCTGTCCATCCATCCCCCCATCCCCCTCCCATCCAGTACTCCCACCAAGGGCCTCACATATGCTAGACAAGTGCTTCACCACTGAGCTCCACCCAGCCCCTTTTTATTTTCATTTTGAGGCAGGGTCTTGCTAAGTTGCCCAGACTGGTCTCAAACTTGTAATCCTCCTTTCTCAGCCTCTCAAATAGCTAGGATTACAACTGTGTACCACTGCACCCAGTGCCTCTGACATATTATTTGAGTCAGTGGGTCGTTAACTAAATCATTGCCAGCATTTGACCACATTCAGAAAGGGGGACATTTGTATTAGGACCTGCAAGAGGAGATGGGATGCTATTTGACTTCTGAGACTCATTTGCCTTTGTGTGTGTGTATGTGTGTGTGTGTGTCACTGGGGATTGAACCCAGGGCCTTGTGCATGAGAGGCAAGCAATCTACCAACTGAGCTATATCCCCAGCCCTCACTTCCCTCTTTTGACTCCCTCTTGTTTAGGTCAGGGAAATGCAGAGCCCTTGGCCCCCATCACTGTTCCTGCCATATTGTGCCATGGGGTTCTTTGCCCACTCACATGGCAGCAGTGGTGGCTGTTCCTTTTTGTATACAGGTGTTAATTCCTCAAGACTTCATAGAAGCCCTATTGTAATGCCCAGTTTACAAATCAGGAGACAGGCCTTGTGGGGGGGGGGGGCTCTACTGCATACTAAGCTAATAACTTCATTGCATACTGGTTTCTGAGGTGCCACAGCTGGTGGGCCACATAAACAGAATGCAGAATGACGGAGTTCAGATAGGGAAGGAGGCCAAGCTGCAGGATTCAGGGAAGTCTGCCTGGAAGAAACGACGGGCAGGGAGGACCTGGAGGAGGAGGAAGTGAGGCCAGGCTTTCCAGACACCGCGCCTGGCAGGGGAGAGGACCTATGTCCTGGTTTTCAGCCTCTCTTGTGTCCCATATCCCTTGCACTCCTTAAAGGAGAGTGGCCTCTCTCGGGGGCCAAGCCAGGGCCTGAAACTGGAAGAGAACTGAGGTTCTGTGGGGGTTGGGGGATATTACATTTTTAGTGGCTGCTACAGGAAGAGTAGCCAAGTGTTTCCTCTTATCCCTGTGGAGGGCCAGAGTGTGACTGTCCTTGGGAACTGGGTCAGCTGATAGCCTGGGTGGGGTGGGGGAAGGGATCCTGAATCCTCTAGCTGGCATCCTTATTGCCCTGCTCCCGGGTGGCCAGTGCTTGTGCAAAACGTGAATATGAGGGCTGGGGATGTGGCTCAAGCGGTAGCACGCTCGCCTGGCATGCGTGCGGCCGGGGGTTCGATCCTCAGCACCACATACCAACAAAGATGTTGTGTCCGCCAATAACTAAAAAATAAATATTAAAAAAAAAAAAAAAACGTGAATATGAGTCCACTGAGGCCCACTGACCCTGCAGCAGAAGCTGGGAAGTAAGATCCTTCCAGAGGCTTCATGGAGGCCCTCTGGCGTAAGAGTCATGAACCCCACTAGGCTGTCTGGGTTCCAAGTCCTGTCTCCACCACTGAGCTTTGTCCAAAGTCATTTCACTAATCTGGGCCTCAGCTTTCCAATCTTTGAAATGGGGGTCATGGAGATGCCTATCTGCTGTGAGACTCAGAGAGAGTATGGGACCACAGACAGGACCTGATCGGAGTGAACGAGGGTTGGAGGTTGGCACAGTCAGATAGGTTTTAGTGATGGAAAAGCACTCTCTTCTTTTGGCCGCCTTATGCCTCTGGATAGTGGCACTCCAATAGTGCAGGCTTTCTGCAGCTCTGGGCTCCCTCTTGAGGCAGCTGCTTTTTTTTCTTTCTTTCTTTTTTTTTTTTTTTTGTAGTTGTAAATGAACAGAATACCCTTATTTTACTTGTTTATTATATATTTTTTAGTGTGGTGCTGAGGATAGAACCCAGTGCCTCACACATGCTACGCAAGTGCTCAGCCCCTGAGCCCCAGCTCCAGCCCGAGGCAGCTTCTTGATGGCAATGCTATTCATGCAGCCAGGTCTCCTCCTGGTGGACGTCTCGGATGTTTCCAGTTGTTAACTCAGAAATGCCATGCCAGTGCACATCTTTGCATTTCTTCCCTGGGCCGGTTCTCCAGCCCAGTGGCCCGTGTGACTTGCTTCCTTTGACTTTTCAGCATCACTGCAGGAGCTATGATCTCTGAACCTGATGGTCCCTACTTCCCAGAATTTTACTGTGAAAATTCAGATATTTGAAAAAGTGCAAAAATTGTATAACGAACACCTTTGTGTTCAGCATCTACATTCTACCATGAATGTGTTCGTTATTTTTAATTATTTCATGCGGTACTGGGGATTGAACCCAGGGGTGCTCTACCACTGAGCCACCTTCCCAACCCTTTTTATTTTTAATTTTATTATTTTGGCACTGGGGACACTTTACCACTCAGCTACATCCCCAGTCCACTTTTATTTTTTATTTGGAGGTAGGGTCTCCTTAAGTTGTCAAGGTTAGACTTGAACTTAGAATCCTGCCTCAGCCTCCCAAGTTGCTGGTATTACCCGTGTATGCCATCACAACTGACTGAACAGTTTTTCTGTTTGCCTGTCCCATCTCTGTGCTTTAGGACTGGATTCCCTCGTTCAGGACCCACACTGCCACATTAATCACTTATGTGTTCCTCTTGTTCTCATTCCCAATGTGGCTTTCAGACACCCCGAGCTCCTACATCTGCTTGAGATCCTGCCCAGGAAGCAATTCTTTCGAGTCATTTATATCCAGGTGGGGTTCCCCTTGAACATATAGGAGGGGAAGGAGGGACATCAAGATGGCTTTGGCAAGGCCAGCAGGGATACTCTGGTTCCCTTGGGGAAGGACAAAATACTATGGGAGCTGGGTGGCGTATGCTTGTAATCTCAGTGACTTAGGAGGCTAAGGCTAGAGGATGGCAAGTTCAAGGCCAGCCTAGGCAACTTAATGAGACCCTGTCTCGAAATAAAAAATAAAATGGGCTGGGGATATAGCTTTGGATAAAAGCACTCCTGAGTTCAATCCCCTGCCCCTCCAAAAAATGCTATGTGAGAACATCTATTACATACTGAGTCTGCCAGTACAATTTGAACATCCCTGATTGAAAAATACAGGACCTGAAATGCTTCAAAATAAGTACTTTCTGAGTGCCGACATGACACCCAAATGTTGAATTTTTACATCTGACCTCATGTATGGTTGCAGTCAGTACAGGGGGACACTTAAAATATTGTGTAAAATCACCTTTAGGGATGCGTCTTGGGTGTATAAGAAACAAATGAGTTTCACATTTAGACTTGGGTCCCATGCCTAAGATGGTTCACTATGTATGCACGAATATTCCAGAATCTGAAAAATCCCCAGATTTGAAACACGTCTAGCCTTGAGCATGTTGGATAAGAGACACTCCACCTATTATTTCTTGTGGAATCTCCAGGTCTGAAAAGGGGCTCTGTCTGGGCTGGGGATGTGGCTCAAGCAGTAGCGCACTCGCCTGGCATGCGTGCGGCCCGGGTTCGATCCTCAGTACCACATACAAACAAAGATGTTGTGTCCGCCGAAAACTAAAAAATAAATATTAAAATTCTCTCTCTCTCAAAAAAAAAAAAATATTAAAAAAAAAAGAAAAAGAAAAGGGGCTCTGTCTATAGGAACCCCCCCTCAGTACTGGTCATAAGAATGAATCTCTTGGTCTCAAAATTCCTAGAGTGATTGTAACTGTTTCTATTCTTCCCCTGCTTGAAAAAGCACTCGTTCCAAAAGTCTTTCTGTTCTCTACCCTTGACAAGATGGCTTTTCTTTCTCATATTGAGTATCTCTCTTCCTTTTTCAGAATATGCAGAGTTTTTGCACTGCAAGTCCAAAAAGTTTACAGACTTTGATGAAGTCCGGCAGGAGATCGAAGCAGAGACCGACAGGGTCACGGGGACCAACAAAGGCATCTCCCCAGTGCCCATCAACCTGCGCGTCTACTCGCCACATGGTAGGCAGCTCAGAATGAGACCCCCCCACACATGAGAGCAGAAGAATGCTGGCTGTCCCCCAGTCATGGGGAGATCTACCTACTCACAAAGAATATGCTTCCTTTTTTCTTCATAAACGCACAGCTGTAAAAAAAAAAAAAAAAAAAAAAAAACCCACATACCAGGAAGATTGCTGGGAGTATTGAGGCCTGGGGCAAAGTGTAGCTCTCTACTTTTAATCAGGGCATCATCCTTGCTGCCTCTCCTATTCCATAAGGTCCACCAGAAACCAGACTTATTTGTAGATGTCCTCATTTTAAAACTCTGAATTAAAGCATCAGCCTGCTGCTATATGTTGCTGTTGGCCCAGAGGCCTGGATTGTGATAGCAAATGCCATTTGGGGACCATCTCAACATATTTTTCTTGAGATGGGTTCCTGGTGATAAATTGTAAAATGTATTTATTTTTGAATTATTAATGACTATATATGGCTCAGGAATTTAAAAATTACCTGAGAGGATGGGAATATTGCTCAGCAGTAGAGCACTTGCTTAGCATGTGCAAGGCCCTGGGTTCCATTCCCAGTACCAAAAAAAAAAAAAACAAACCATCAAACAGTATGTGGCAAAAACCTACCTTGCTTTTCCACCAATGTTACAAATATATTTCATGTTCGTCAAATGACAATGCACATGCAGTTGTGAATATGTACATATATGTATCATGTATGTGCATATCATCAATTTTCCTGAAATCATAGCATACTATAGAAATCATTTGTGCCTCTTTTTTGTGTGTGTGAATACATCTCAGAGTGTGTTTCTTATGGTTCTTTGGTACTGGCTGAATGGGTGGACGAATGGGCTGGAATTTAGCCACTTATGAATTCCAGTTTGTAGCTGTAAACATCCTGATTTAAACATCTATATCACTGGAATGGAGTAGGTAGAGGGTAGAGTGGAATCCTAGGAAGGTTACTGGATAAAAAGTACAGTTGGGATTGGGTGTGGCTCAGTGATAGAGCCTGACTAGGATGCACAAGGCCCTGCGTTCCATCCCTAGCACCATGTTTTAAAAAGAGGGTATGGTCCAGTTGGAGTGTCTAGGAGTCATCCGAAGTCTGACCCCCTCCAGGAAATTAGGGATGTCACCTGGATCTTAGGGCTATATATGCTTTGCCTTTTGCAGGTTCTGACCACTTTTACCTCTGATTTCCTTTCCAGTGTTGAACTTAACCCTTATCGACCTCCCAGGCATCACCAAGGTGCCTGTGGGGGACCAGCCCCCAGACATTGAGTACCAGATCAAAGACATGATCCTGCAGTTCATCAGTCGGGAGAGCAGCCTCATCCTTGCTGTCACACCTGCCAACATGGACTTGGCCAACTCAGATGCTCTTAAGCTGGCCAAGGAAGTTGACCCTCAAGGTAACCAGGCAGCAGCTCCTTCATCCCGTCCCAGTATTGAGACTTGCCTAGAACCCTGGATTCTAAGTCCTAGCATTCTCTTAGCACATGGCCCTTTAGGAAAAGACCTCCTGTGAAATTCTCAGCATTCCCTGACAGGACTTGTGATGGTGGTGGGTGTCTCCTGGGGGCCCACAGTGTGGCTGTTGGGTGTCCCTCCTTGAACATGATTCTGCCTGCTTTGCTAGTGCAGGAGGGTAACCTAGGGGAGTGGGAACAGTACAACTATGTTAGTCTTCTTTCTGTTACTTCAACAAATACTGGAGGTAATCAATTTATGAAGAGAAAAGGTTTGTTTTTGCTCACAGTTTTGGAGGTTCCAGTTTGATTGGCCCCATTGCTTTGGGGTCTGCGGTAAGGCATCACATGACAGCACATTCATGGAGCAAAACCACTTACCTCATAGTCAGGGAGCAAAAACGAAAGAAAAAGGAAGGGACCAGCATCCCGTAATTTTCTTCAAGGGCATGCCCCTAAAACCTCCCTCTAGGTCTCCACCTCTCAGATTCCACCCATTGTTGCCACTCTGGGGAGCAATCCTTTAACACATCGTCCTTTGGGGGCACATTTAAAATTCAAACTCCAGGGGCTGGGGTGGTGGCTCTGTGGCAGAGCACTTGTCTAGCATGTGTGAGGCACCGTGTTCATCCTCAGCACCACATATCAATAAATAAAATAAAGATCCATTGGCAACTAAATAAATAAATAAAATAAAATTCAAACTCCAGCACCAGCCCTCACGGGGCACAGATGCAATTCCAGATCCCACCTTTAGAAGTTACTATCTTCCCAAGGTTTGGTTTCACTCTGTCAAAACTGGAACATTAATCCCAACCCATAGAGTGGCTTTGAGGTCTATAGATAATCTCCATAAACTGCTTCGGCGCCAGGCAGGTAAAGTAAAAGTTACTGAAGGAACTTGGGGTCATAGTGGGTAGTGGAGACTGTGGTATTCCTGGCCAGAGGCTTGCAAAATCAAACTTTTCAAATGGCCACTGAGTGTTAGTTAAGCACCTGCAATGGGCCAGGCTCAGGAATGCAGGCTTGGGAATGGAGCAGGGAACAAATCATCAGGCTCCTGAGATACTGATATTCCATTGAGAGTGTAGAATAATAACCAGGAACAAGCATGCGAGATCCTTGCAAGTAATGGCAAGTTTTGGGGAGAACATAGCTTGGAGAGTGGCCAGGGTTGAATGGTCAGGGACCTCTGTGGAGGTGAGATTTGACCAGAATGATAAAAAGATGAGAAGAGAAAAAAATCCAGAAAATTGGACAGTGGGTACTTATAGCTGGAGTGAGGAAGGGGGTAATTTGAGTCTGGGGTATTCAAGATGCAGCAAGGAGACCCTGTGTGGCTTAGGCAGAGTGAGCTAAAAGGTAAAAGGTGGAAGGAGACACTAGTTGAACAAGGCTTTGAGAGTTGCTGTAGGGGGCTGTGGTTTATTCAGAGAGTCTTGGAATTTTAACCACATATGACACAAACGGAAATGCATTTTGTTTGATGCCCTCCGACTTCCAGGGTTCTGAGTAGTTTGGAGGAAGTTGGGTACCAGTAAGGAGCGGAGGGAGTTGTCAAGGCCAGGCAGGCTTGTAGCTCATGCTACCTAGTCAAGGGTTAGGCCCATGGGTCAGTCAGTCTTGTATGTGACTGAAAGCTCCTCAAAATCCAGTGCTGGGGGTGTGGCTTGGTGGGAGAACATTTGCCTATCATGCCTGAGACCCTGGGTTTCATCCCTAGCACTGCAAAGTAAAGTTTTTTTAAAAAAATGTTCAGGGCTATCCACTGAGCACTTCTGTGCTGCTGACGAGGAGGCTGTGACTGCTACTCCCCTCCAGGGCACATGGGCACACTTTCTTGGGAGAGGCTGCCCCTGCCTCCCTGTCAACACCAGTCTTGTCCTCTGCTGTCTTCACATGAAATGGGGTATGGTTATGAAAAAGGGTTAATCAGGTGGTGCAAAAATGGGCATCAGTACAGTTAAGTGCCATTTGTGAACCCGATGCTGGCCTTAACATTTTTTTCTGTCTTCGAAAGCATTCGTGATTATTACCCAAAAATAAAAGTCACCATGGAAAAATAGAGAACTCAGAAAGTGACAGCTCCCCTCCCCCTGCAGAGATACGGCTGGCTACATTTGGTAAATATCTTTCCAGAGTCGGTTTTACCCATAAACGTGCGTTTTTAAATTAGACTATTGGCCAGGTGCAGTGGTGTGCGCCTGCAATCCCAGCCACTCGGGAGGCAGAGGCAGGAGGATTGTGAGTTTGAGACCAGCCTGGGCAACAGAGTGAGGCCCTGTTTTGAAAGAAAGGAAGGAAGGAAGGAAGGGAGGGAATGAGGGAGGGAAGGAAACATGGCTTTCACTCCGTCAATGCCCAAGTTGGCACTTACCAGTGATTTCCCTGGGCTTCTATCTGTCCCCTGTGTGTGTCTCACACATGTGACACACGTAAGTGTGCACACACAGCTAGCACAGCCCTGAGCTCAAGCCCTGCATGGGCATTTGATGTGCAGGTGTGAAGCTATGCTATGAGGAGTTCCTTGAATTTGGCTGAGTAGGGGAGAGGAGGTATTTGATGGGGTGGGCCCCAGAGTGGCACTTTGCCATTCAGTTGAGAGGAAACCCTGGAAACAGTTGCTTCAGGTACAAGTGTGATGTTGGGACTTATATACAACTCAGAGCACAGCATTGAAACTGCATAGAAATTGACTGGGGATAGCTCAAGTTGCCATGAGGTTCCCTGTAGACCCTGAAGCAGCAGGTTCTGTTGCTAATATGAGTGACGATGATGATGGTGGTGGTATTATATATTGACTGTTTGAATGTGCCAGGTTTATCCTGTGGATTACCCTCTGAGATCAGAACTTGTAACTGTCTTCATTTGATACTTGAGATACTGGGGTCCAGACAGTTAACATGGTTTGTTACCATATAACCTGACAGTGGCAGGGTGAATTGGACCCCAGGTGGCCCGGGGCCACCAGCCTGTGTTCCTTCCTCATGGTGCCTTCTGACCTCTGTGCTTTTTCAGGCCTGCGGACCATTGGTGTTATCACCAAACTCGACCTGATGGATGAAGGCACAGATGCCAGGGATGTCCTGGAGAACAAGCTGCTGCCACTGAGAAGAGGTGTGGCTGGAGACAGGGGCTGGGACCTCAGAGTGGGGAGTGTGGACTGGGGAAGCCGTTGGGTGCTCGTGGGGCAGGGAGAATGGGCTGGGTTGTGTTTGTGTCTTTTTCTTCTGATTTTTATACTTTGATTTTTCAGTTACACAGTGAACACCTGCTCCTTTTTGGAACATTAGTAAACATGTATACAGAAAGAGGAAACTAATTTCACCCACAGCCCTACTTCCCCAGTCAGTAGTTAATACTTTGTGGCTATCTTTCCAAACAATTCTCTAAAGTTTGAAACTTTTTTTTTTTTTGGTGTTGGGAGTCCAGGGCATTGTGCATGCTGAAGCACATACTGTACTACTGAGCTACACCCCCAGCTCTTTGGGCTATTACTAATTTATTTTATTTTATTGTTTGTTTGTTTGTTTGTTTGCTTGCCTTGCCAGAAATAGAAGCAGGGCCCAGCATATGCTAGGAGCATTCTACCACTGAGCTTCATCCCCCCCATCTTATTAATTTTTAGAATTACTTTCTATTATGAACATACTACGTACCAAAAAGTAGGGGAGTTTTAGTAGTCCTGTGGACCTGTTGCCCGGCTTCAGGGGGTGTCACACACAGTTAATTTTAAATCTCCTGAATGTCGTTGTCAACTATTGTTATCTTCTTCCTGGGGGATTTTTAAAGTAAGTCCTAGACATTATATCATTTTATACATAAATATGTGCATTTCTTTTCAAATAATACTTCTTCTCATCCCTTTTCTTTTTCTATACTGTTTATTTGAAGAAGAAACTAGATCACATCCCACATTTGGAATTTGACCAGTTGTCATTCCCTATCAGCTGGTAATTAGATCCAGATGGAAGCCTGATTATCTTCAGGTTCAAGTTCAGGGTTGGGTATTCTCTCACAGGAGTAGCCTCAGCATTTTGTTGTTGTTGTTGTTGTTTGTTTGTTTAGTTGTCAATGGACTTTATTTTATTTTTTTTTATGTGGTGCTGAGAATTGAACCCAGAGCAAGCCCTCTACCACTGAGCCACAACCCCAGCCCAGCCTCAGCATTTTAATACATACTTTTTTCAGTTTTAAGATTTTAAAAATATTTTTGGTTGTAGATAGACATAATACCTTTATTTTCTTTGTTTGTTTATATATTTATTTTTATGTGGTGCTGAGGATCAGACCCAGTGCCTCACACATGCTAGGTAAGAACTCTACCACTGAGCTACAATCCCAGCCTCAAGATTTTTTAAAGTAGCAGTATTAGACTCACAGCCAAACTAAGGGGAAAGTACAAAGATTTTTTCCAAAGTTTCTATGTGCCCCTGCTATCAACATCCTGTGGCAAAGAGGTGCTTTCATTATAATTTGTGAACTTCCATTGACACATCATCACCCCAAATCCATAGTTTACATTAAGGTTTACTCTTGGTATTATAAATATTTTTATTTTCAAAAGATGAGAATAAAAAGATGAGTATCTTCACACAACATATGTTTATACTAACATCTGTCAGCCATTTTGTGAGAATATTGCCAAAATATAACATTTATAAAAACAATAAGCCAAAAAACGTGAGAATAGCAAACATTTATTGAGTATGTATATGTACCAGCCACTATTCTAAACTCAGTATGCGAGAAATCATTGAATCCTGATAGCAACTCAATCAGGTGGTTTATTCTGTTCTCATCCCCATTTTATAGAAGAAACTGAAGCACTGGAGGACTAAATCCCTTCACCCAGCTCCTAGAACTAGGGAGTAGCAAACATAGTTTTTGAGGCCCTAACCCTTCAGCACCATGCTACTGTGACCCTCTTTTACATTTCAAACATTTCACCATAACAGGTCAATAGTCTTCAATGTGACTTCAGGATGTCTTGGGGAATTCCTTACATAGGGCCCGAAGGCCATCACATTATCCCTACACTGAGGACACTGAGGCCACTTCCTGATTTTCACCATGGCACAATGTCTGGCTATTTGATTTTTTTTTTTTTTAATATTTTTTTAGTTGTCAATGGACCTTTATTTTATTTATTGGCTCGTGGTGCTGAGAATCTAACCCAGTGCCTCACACATGCTAGGCAAGCCCTCTGCCACTGAGCCACAACCCCAGCCCTGGCTATAAGAACATCCTTCTCTCTAGGATCTGCTCTCAGCTGTGGGCATATTCTGGTCTTCATCCCTGTTGGCATCACTTAGACCTTTTCTTTTGCTCCTGGGGTTCCTGCTTGGATGACTAGGATGGACCTGGGAAAATATTCACACTTCAATTGTCACCTTCTCCTAGCACTGCTGAGACACTGAGTAGTGACATGGCCCCAAATCAGAAGGGAGCATGGTCAGAGGCCAAATCTAAAAACCCACTTGGCTGTGAGGATCAGGGTCTGAGAAGTGAGTCAGCTACCAGCCAGCGTTGAGGGAGGAAGTGCTAGGGCTGAAGAGGAAGCCAGCCCACACCCTTGACCAGCCATTCTGCCTTGAGCTCCCTTGAATGGTCTTGAGCCTCCCCCTTAGCCTCTGGGATCAGGGGTGTGCTCAGCATCTATGGGCATTAGCTGAGCTAAGAATCCAATGGCAGGGGCCTTGTGTACCTCATTCCTCACTAATGACCACATGACTCCTTCCTCTGTTGTCATGGAGGACAGCTGTCACGGGCCTGCTCCCATATAGTCTCGTGATCTCAGGCTCTCTCTTTCTCAGTTTCTTCCCTCTCCATGTGGCTTCAGAACTCCTCCCCCTGAGATCTGAGGGTGTTGTGCAGGAGGCCCTGAGTTTCATCCCCTAGCACCACAAAATAAAAGTCCTTCCCACTGGATCCTTATTCCTGGTTTACAAGACATTTGCAACTCTAGTACCTTTAAAGGAACTGAAGTCCAAGCCAGATGACCTCTGTCTGCCCCACCCTGATATTTCCCTCTGTATTCTCTTACATGTGCAGTATGGAGTATGGCTTGACAGGGTTCTAGGTTCAGAGTTTGGTTCACCTACTATGACTTCATGTTGGCATGCCTCAGTTTCTCCATCTATAAAATGGACATAATGACAGCTTATGAAGAGGACAGGAGCCATCCTGTCTACACAAGTCTTAGCAACGTAAATGGCAGGCACTACTCCTCTCCCCAAGAGAAACATGTACAACCCCCACCACTGGTTTTCTCATATACCACATGGAGTATGAGTACAAGACATTTGTCACTTTGGACCTTTTGCCATTACCTTTCCAGTTTTAATTATGTTGATAACAATTAATAGCAACAACTGTATCTGTGTCTGCTACTAGGTGATGTTCTTTTTGTTTTTGTTTTTGTGGTACTGAGAATTGAACCCAGGGGCGCTCACTTCTGCTGAGCTACATCCCCAGCCCTTTTTGTTTTTTTATTTTATTTTTGAGACAGGTCTTGCTAAGATGCTGAGGCTGGCCTCAAACTTGTGATCTTCCTGCCTCAGCCTCCCAAATAGCTAGGTAAAGTTCTTTATTTTTCATGATACCCATCTATATACCCTTAGTGCTGAGTGCCTCCTGCCTGGATTCAGGGAGTCCTGGCTGTTCTGGGTTTCTTTTTTTTTTTTTTTTTTTTTTTCTCCTCTCTCTTTCCCCCCCCCCCCCCCCCCCCCCCCTCTCTCTCTCTCCCTCTCCCTCTTTTCTGTTGCGGGTAGGGGCTCTGCTGGTGATTGAACCCAGGGCCTTGCAAGTACTCTACCACTGAGCTTTATCCCCACTCTTTTTTTTTTCTTTTTAATATATTCCTTTTTTCCTTATTATTTTTTTTTTAATCTGTGTGTTTGTTCATTTAAAAAGATAGGGTTCCTCACCTGGACCCCAACGTTCTGGGCTCAATGTGTTCTCCCATGTTCTGACTTTTTGTTTGTTTGTTCATAGTACTAGGGATTGAACCCAGGGCACTCTACCACCGAGCTACATCTCCAGCCCTTTTTATTTTTTACTTTGATACAGGGTCTGGCTAAGTTACCTAGGCTGGCCTTGAACTTGCCATCCTGCCTCAGCCTCCCAAGTTGCTGGGATTACAGGTGTGTGCCCCTGCACTAGCCCATGTTCTGCCTTTTTGAATGTCATCCCTTGCCCCTCTTCTCTCCAGGTTTCTTTATTTTTAAATATTGTATATCTTTTTCCAGACTAGCATTTTTATTCTAAAAGTGCTTTTTACCATTGGAAAAGTTGAAAATGATACTGAAAGCAGCAAATTGAGGAGATAATCTCCTGATTCCACTAAGCCACACCTCCAGCTCTCTCACTTGATTACTTTTAACTATTTTCTTGTGTTTCATTCCAGAAAACAAATGCAATCTTTTTTTTTTTTTTAATCACTCATGTTTTCTTCAAGTTTTTTTTCTAGTTTTCTGTTTTCTGTGGGGATCTGTGATCCCTTGAGAGTTCATTTTGGTAGGCACCCAATGTTGATTCTTTGCCAGCAGAACCCAGATTTTTTTCTTTGCCAAATAATTTTGGCAAAGCTTTTATGCCACCAATTTTGAAATCTTCAGTTCCCATCTGCTTCTAATGGTGTTTTTGGATTTTCTATTTGGTGCCTTTCATCTCTCTATGCATAAGGTCCCAGTATGCCAGATATTGAAAATATAGTAGCTTTGTAGTTGTGGTGGTGGTGTCTGTTTGTTTTTGTCTCTGTGTTTCTTTGCTTTGTTTTTTGGGGTGGTGGGAATGGAACCCAGGGCTTCTTGCATGTTAGTAAGTGTTCTGCCACTGTGCCATATCATCTCAGCCCTATAGTAGCTTTTAATGTCTAGCAAGATTTAGCTGCCTTCTGATTGCCTTGTTTTGGATATGTTTTGTTTTTTTTTTTTAACTGTCTTTAGCTTTTTTCTGGCATCTGTCCCACAGACTGGATATGAGTTGTCGTTCCTCCAAATATTTATGTTGCTTTTCCATACCGCTTTCTGCTGCGTTGCACTGTCAGTTGTTTCTGAGTATCGTGTGTTGACCCATGTGTCCCAGTCTCCGCACGGCCATCTCTACACCCAAACCTGGCCCTGCCCATTCTATGTCCATAGTAGATACCCGGGCACCTTAGTGCTCCTGACCAAGGCCTTATCCTTACTGTGTCTTCCCACAGGCTACATTGGTGTGGTGAACCGCAGCCAGAAGGACATTGAGGGCAAGAAGGACATCCGTGCAGCACTGGCAGCGGAGAGGAAGTTCTTCCTCTCCCACCCAGCCTACCGGCACATGGCTGATCGCATGGGCACCCCACACCTGCAGAAGACCCTGAATCAGGTACCATGAGGACTTGGCGTCTCTGTGTATACTGGGACAGTCTGCACACTGCACAACAGCCACTGTTCACACTTGTACCATCTTCAGTCTAAACCAGCAGGGTTTTTTTAGTAAAATGGGTTCAATCCACATTATTACTCCACAATGAGTGCTTTTAAAATGGAACCTGATAGGATTGGGTTGGTTCAATCAGTTGGTATTTGACTTTTTAATATTGCTGTTATTTTTGTTCTTTTAATTGCCATTGTAATTTGGTCAAAGGCTCAGAAGTTTGCATGCAATTCTGGAGTTGGCGACCTGGATTAAGGTTGCCCGGACTAAAGCAAAGCCAGGTGCCCTTCAGTACCTGACTGCAGCTAAGTAGGAAGACTCTGAAGTCTGAACCTCGAGATTCCAAAACCCAGCCCAGCCTCAGATGTGTGGTCCCGGCCCAGCTTTTCCAAGGTTCTCTCCTCTTGGGTCCACCGATTGAGAATGGTCCCTGTGCCTGCTTCCTAGGGCTGGCATCTGGAATCAGCAGGGCCCTGTGTGTTCAGTGCACAGCACAGATGCTGCGTGCAGTATACTGATACATGGCAGCAGCCACCCTGGTACTGGATTGTATTCCCATCCCTCTTTTTGAGGTAGTGTATTCCTAGGGTTCATAAACAAAAATAGTATTGAAATGTATACAGTGAAAACTTTCCTTCCATGGGCTCCACATCATTACCCTGCCTGAATTTTTTTTTGTCCATGAAAACAGAAAGAACTGTGAGAAGTCCCCCTTCTCCCTTACCATGAACCATGATAGTCAGGGATTCCTGCTGCACTTGCTTTTCTCTGCTCTACACTTACCTTGGGGAGCGCCATCCCTGTAGTTAAGGGCCCTTCCTTACTCCCAGAACTGGGCCCTGATCTGCTCAACAGGCTTATTTTTTTTTTCCTCAAGCACTTGAGATGGTTTCTAATCTTCCTGGTCAATAAACAGCTATAGTTTGTATCATTTTATAGATGTATAGATGTGCATGTTTCCCTGGGGGGTAGACTCCCTGATGTGGCATTGTGTAGAAACAGGTGATAGGCTGTATCTGGCCTGGCCTTCACTGATTTCCTGGTTTTCCCAGACAGTGTTGCCCTCTCAGCTGTCCCTGTGGTTGAGCAGATCAGGGGCCAGCTTTTGGGAACTAAACAGCTACAGCAAAGAGTAAAGAAGGGCTCTTTACTACAGGGACAGATCTCCTGGAGATAGTATGGGACAAAGGAGAGCAGATGGAGTAGGGATCCCTAACTGCAAGCATTGTTTATGATAAGAAAGGGAGAATGGGGACTTCTCAAAGTGCTTCCTGCTTTCTGGCAGCTTTCAGGATGATGGCCTCAGAATGGCAATCTGAAGGTCATACCTTCATGTACAAACTGGGGAGCCAGTGGCACTGTGAGAACAGATCCTGTCCATCCGGAGGGCTTTCTTCTTGTGCCTTCTGTGTGTATGTATGTGTGGTACTGGAGATAAGGGAAGGCTAATTTTTAGTGGTGGGCCAGGGAGCAAGCCACCAGGTAAATGGATGATCAAGTGTTAACTTGGGCTGGGGTGGGGGCCAGAGGTAACACAGAGCAGGCAGCTCAGGGGAGGGAAGAGGCAAGTCACTCCCTTGGGAGGGGCCCTCCAGGACCGGAAGTAGGCAGGCCTCAGCAGTGGGGAGGATGCAGAAAAAAGGAAGGAAACCTCCACTGCAGCTGGCCAAGGCCTCCCAGGGTGAGTGGCCCAGAGGCCCCTTAGGAGTCAGGAAGGGTTGGCCCCTTTCACATTGGGTGACTTTCTGGGACAGTGTTTCCCCAAGTTAAATACTGTAGGATCACAGACGGGAGTAAAGGTCTGCAGAGCCCTAAGCATCAATCCCCACTATTTGAGTCTCTCAGCTCCCCTAGAGAGGGGCCTGTGGGCTGGGTCATGGAGGCAGGGACCCCTGCTTACAGAGAACTCCGGGGTGGCCTATTAGAGCCACACCACAGATGAGAGGCTTCTTTTTTTTTTTTTTTTATTGGTTGTTCAAAACATTACGAGAGGCTTCTTTATGCCTCTTTTTTAGCTTGATAGATACTTAGAAAATTCTCTTCTATTAGAGGACAGGTGGCAGCAGAATTCTGGTGTTCACTTTTTGGGTAGTGGCTGATTTTATGTTTTTTGTTTTTTTCATTCATTTTTTTCCCTTTATTTTGTATTAGGGGGAAAAAAGGTCATCCATCCCCATAGTGACTGTCCCATTTCTTCCTTTCCTGTAATGGATGCTTGTGCCTTTTCCAGAGGTGACCTTTGTCATTGCTTCCTGTGTGTTTTCTTCTAGGGCCTGAAGAGAGGGACATGTCTACACTGTATATCCCTCCTTCCCCTCCCCGACTCCACTGCTTCCTCCTCGTCCTTTCCTCCCTCTTCCCCTCCCTCCCTTCCTTTCCTTCTTTTCTCCTTTTTACTTTTCTCCCTATTTTCCCTTCTCTTTTTTTTTTGGCGGGGGGGTTACTGGGGGTTGAATCCAGGGGTGCTGTCCTACTGAGTTACATCCCCAGCACCCCTACCCCCTTTGTTTGAGATAGGATTTTGCTTAATTGCTCAGGCTGGCCTCGAGACTTATGATCCCTCAGCCTTGGCCTACTGAGTAGCTGGATTGCAGGTGTGTGCCACTGCACCCCACCTTCCTTCCCTTCTTCCTCTTCCTCCTCCTTTACCCCCTCTTCCTTACCATTTTTTTTCCCATTAGGTGGGGGAATGGAACCCAGGGCCTGTGTGTGCTGAGCAAGTGCCCTGCCACTGAGCTACGTCCCTAGCCCTTTTTCCCCCTGCCCTAGACGGCAGTAGCTTACCCCCATTCCATATCTAGTTTTCTGTCAAACAGCACATCTTGTGGGTCATTCCCTGTCTGTTTTCTGCCATGAACCTCCCTTTCAGAGATTAACAGATATCAGATTCGTACAGTTCAAAAGCAGAATAAGGGGCTGGAGGTGTAGTTCAGCGTAGGGCACTGGCGTGCGGGAGGTCCTGGGCCCCATTCTAAGCACCACAAAAAATGAATTAACTAAAGCAGAACAGTAGAGCAAAAGAGAGCACTGAGAAGGCCATTCTCCGGCCAGCCCTCTCTATGCTCCAATCCACCGTCTTCTGTGTTAGTTTCTTCAGAAACTCTCGTGTTGAGGCAAATGCAGGTGCTGCCTTTCTTTCACAGCAGGGAGCCCGTCGTATGTGCGTTGTGTTCTTCTCAGGATATCTATTCCACCTAAGTTTGCAGGTTTGTCACTGTCACTCCTCTGGTCAGTGGGCTCTGCAGGGCCGCGCAGACGTCTCACTGAGTGGTACCGAGGCGGATGTCCCGGGTCAGCAGGCCTCCTGCCCTCTTTGCCTCCTTGTCAGCATCTGTGTGTCTTCCTTGGTGTGACTGCCTCATTGACCACCCAGTGCCCTATGGCAAGGGTGATCACTCAGTCGTGGCCCCTCTTTTAGCCTGGGCGTAAGCGTGTCCGTTGCTGGGTACTTTTTCTATTGCTTTTACTTGAGGCTGAGGAGTGTGCTGGTCTCAGGTGGCATTGGCCCTCCATGGGGAAAACAGGGCCTGCACCTTCCTGGTTTCCTGCCCACAATGACCTCCCTGATATCTGCCCTTCTCTTGCAGCAACTGACCAACCACATCCGGGAGTCACTGCCAGCCCTACGCAGCAAGCTGCAAAGTCAGCTGCTGTCCCTAGAGAAGGAGGTAGAAGAGTATAAGAATTTCCGTCCCGATGACCCCACACGGAAAACCAAAGCCCTGCTACAGTATGTGCCTCTCCTTTCCCTCCCACCTTCCCACAGCATCCCTGGGCTGGGTGCCCATTTGACCTTGTTGTCTGTTCATTCATTCAACAAGTATTTGTTGAGAACCACCTGTGTGCCAGACCTTATCCTAAGCACCATGTTGTGGCAGTGAATAGGGCAGGTGCCCATCCCTCTCCCCAGGGTGTGCAGGAAGCGGGAATAGGGAAGGAATGGGACAGAAAATTAGTAAGTAGCAAAACATATGGTAAAAAGCTGAGCACAGGGCTGGGGTGGTGGCTCAGCGGTAGAGCGCCCGCCTAGCACATGCGAGGCCCTGGGTTCGATCCTCAGCACCACATAAAAATAAATAAATATTATGAAGATATTGTGTTCAACTGAAAAAAAAAATATATATATATATATAAAATTTTTTTAAAAAGCTGAGCATGGCAGTGTACACCTGTAATCCCAACTACTGGAGAGGCTGAGGCAGGAGGATGGCCAGTTAACTTCTGGCACTGGGAGTCTGAGGTGAATTACTATTAGTTGGAAGCATTTTTCTTTTTTGTGAGTGCACAGAATAACTATGTATTTTAGGGTCAGCGACTTTTTGAAGTTGATGAAATGCACAAATGCCTTCAGTTCTCAACAGTGACGGTGTGAGGTAGATGTTGTTCCTATCTACCACTTTGCACATGAAGAAACTGAGGTGCAGGGGACAACTTTGCCTGTCTAAGGCCTCAGCACTCATCAGTGGTACAGACCCCACCTGAACAGGCTGAAAAGGGAACTTGTGTAGCCACCTGAGTTGCTGAAGGGGCTACCTTTTTTGTATTATTATTAATTTTTTTTTTCTTTTAGTTTTAGTTGTTGATGGACCTTTATTTTATTTACTTACTTATTTATATGTGGTGCTGAGAATCAAACCCAGTGCCTCACACGTGCTAGGCAAGCGCTCTAGCACTGAGCTACAGCCCCAGCCCCAGCGGGGCTACCTTTTTACACCACCATCTGCCAAGTCAAGTTGAGCCTCGGGGTAGAGGTTGAGTAGCTGTGATGTCAGATCTTCATCTACAAACTAAGAAAAATAATTGACCCCCTCAGATTCAGTGGGTGGATAATCGCAAGAGGCTTTGCAAACGTTTGCCCTCAGCAGCTCTTGTATTTTGTTGATTTGTTTTAGTATAAGCCTATATTTTGCTGCTAAAAATGAAGCAAGCAAATACATCATGGTTCAACTGGGAACATAATTCCAGAGCCATGCAGACACCTCTGCTTTGATATTTGTGTTTTCTTTTTCTTCATAGGATGGTCCAGCAATTTGGGGTGGACTTTGAGAAAAGAATCGAGGGCTCAGGAGACCAAGTGGACACGCTGGAGCTCTCAGGGGGCGCCCGAATCAATCGCATCTTCCATGAGCGCTTTCCCTTTGAGCTGGTGAAGGTAGCACCCCAGAGATGGGCCCCATCTCTAGCCAGGCACCCTCCCTCTTGGCATTGACTCTGGCCTCCTTTCTGGCCATAATGTCTGTGGGTAGAGCATGGCCCAGAGGAGGCATCCCCATGGGCTTTCTGCCCCCAGTGGGCAGCTTAGGAGTTCGGGGCAAAATTATATTTAAGTCCCATTTGTTTGCATTGATAAAAAACAATATATGTTCTTTGCTAATTCTGTCAGCCCTCCAAGTTCATGTGTTTCACATTCACAGGTTTAACCAACTGCAGATCGAAAATACTAGAAAAGAAAAAAACATCTGTACTGAACACTACAGACTTTTTTCTTGTCATTATTCCCTGTGCAAAACAGTGTAGCTATTTACATATCATTTACTTTGTGTTAGGTATTGTAAATCATCTAGAAATGTGGAAAGATATGCATAAGTTCTATGCAAATCTACACCCATGGCATAGTATATACAAAGGACTTGAGCATCCCTAGATGTGGTATATTGGGGGAGGATCCTAGAGTCATCCACTGTGGATACCAAGAGACGACAGAAAATGGAGGTAAACTTGCAAGGAAAAATGTCCTCAACATGTTGTTAAAGGTAGAACCAGTTATGGAGCCTGCAGATACGCTGTATATGTACATGGCATAATAACAGCCTTCTGTGTGAAATTGTATGTAAATGTCTAGGACTACATCTGTATGGACAGATCTGCCAAGATGTTCTTGAAAATGTCAGCTCTGGAGCCTGGGATTTGGGATCCTTCTTTCCTCCTTCCCTTCCTTTTTTTGGTGATTTATTGGACACTTTATGTTTTTTATAATGAGCATATAACATTTAAAAAAAAAAATAAAATGCTTTTCAGTAAAAGGAGAGAAACACCCATAATCCTGATAGCCACAGACAAGGCGTATTAACATTTAGCTAGGCATATTTTCTGAATTATTTCTGTGCAGATGGGTAAGCCTGCCACAAACACAGCATGTGTCCTTATCCATAATTGTGTATACATATCTATTTTGTAATCAAAAAACAAATTATGCCTCTTTGTGACATGCATTTTTCATGCAGTAACCATCTTCCCAAACTAGTTATCAACATATAACAAATTGTTAGTGGCAAAATAGTATCCTGTTTTATGACTGTCCCATCATGTACTTAATCTGTCTCCCATTTTTGATCATTTAGGTTCTATTTACACTTTTCGGAAAAGTTCTGTGCATGTTGCTAAATCTTTCTTAATTCCTTAAGATGAATTTCTAGAGTATTGGAACTAGTAAATGAAGTATAGGAATGTTTTAGAGAGATTATTACTTTATACAGACCATGTGAGAGTGTTAGTTTTAGAACATCTTTGCTGAAACTGGGTTATAATTTTTAAATTTTTATTCTTGAAGTAAATAATTTGCCCTCTGACTACAACTGTGCTAGGAAATCACCTTCCCCAAGTACACACCTGTGCTGGGGTACCCCAGGGACCTCCCTTCATTTGTTTGGCTTATCTCTTCTCAGATGGAGTTTGATGAGAAAGACTTAAGACGAGAGATCAGCTATGCCATTAAGAACATTCATGGAGTCAGGCAAGTTTCCTTCCCCTCTACAGTGACACCCTCTAGCCAGTTGGGCTCCCCAAACCTCTGGGCACCCCAATTGTGAGGCTCTTGGGTGATTTTCAAGAGCTGTAAGCCTGTCCTTTTGGGTCGCTAAAGGCACTGAGGGGGGGCATGTTTCAGTCCTTCCTGAATCTTTTGCAGGCCACCGTGCATAGCATGGCCCCAGGGTTAGACACAGCTGATTGGTAGAGCCTTAGTCACTGGTAAACTAAGAGAGCTTACCGCAGATTGTCTGGGGCAGGGTAGGGCAGACTTGAGTCACGTTCATAGAAATCTCAAATTTATCCTCATCGAAGGTCCCTCATGAGAGTCTTGGGCCCCCTTCTTATTCTAACAAAGGTAGTCTTTCCAATTATCCAGGCTTTATTGCCATTGGGTCCTCGGGTCACCTTGGGTTTCCCCACTGTGGACTCAGGCATCTGATCCCCAGATTTGATGTAACCTTCTTCTTCCTTGGGGACCCAGCCAGTACTTAGGAAATTTCTGATCATGCTTTGTTTCTCTCTGACTTATCTCCCCTGCCCCCCGGGTACGGATGGTTTTAGGACTGGGCTCTTCACCCCGGACTTGGCGTTCGAGGCCATTGTGAAAAAGCAGGTCGTCAAGCTGAAAGAGCCCTGTCTGAAATGTGTCGACCTGGTTATCCAGGAGCTAATCAATACAGTTAGGCAGTGTACCAGTAAGGTATTGGATCCCTGGCAGGGTGACTCCTGGCCTTGTGGAAACCGGGGTATGGGAGTTTGGTATCAGGCCCCCAGTGTTGGTCATCCCCTAAGTTACCTAAATTTCCAAGAACTTGACCTCTATCCAGAGGAAGGGATGGGACCATGTCAGCCAGGGCCCACTGGGGGGTGTCAGGCCTCCAGAACTGGCCAGACATGAGGACAGGCCTCCCTGGGGCCCTGATACCAAGCCTAGCATGTATCTGGTGGAATTGGGGCTTCACTGGGCTGTTGCTTTGCTGCCTTCTGGGAAGCAGAGAGGGACCCCACGTCAGCTGCTGGAGGCCAAGTCCCTGAATCTACTTGACTGTCACCCCTTCTTGACAAATGCCCAGTATCCTCTGGCTTCTCTGGAGCCAACTCCTTCTGTTTCCCCATGGTGCTGGGAAAGGCCCAGATGCCAACAACATAACAAATGCTTAGTGCCCAGCTTGATAAAGCTTCCTGATCTCCCAAGTGCCCCCTGCCAGCTCCCCTGCACCCCATGCCACGTACCCCACCTCCTACCCAGCCTGTCCTCAGCCCACCTGATCACAAGTACCTGGGTGCCAGTTTTCACAGGTGGCTGCCTCCACTCAGCAGGACGTGTCGGGCTTCCCAGAAGGGCCTGTTTCCCAGGGCAGCACGCTTTGGCCAAGCCACTCAAATGCTTCCCAGCGGGCAGTCTGTGCTTGTGCGACCATGATGTCCTCAATGCTCTGGGTTGGCAGGGAATTTCTGCTTGATATCTTTGTTCTTAGTCTGGAAAAGCCCCCATTTGCTTCTTAAGCTCCTTCAATTGGAAAAGGGGGAAACCAAACCTGCTTGGGTTGCTGATTATCATCCTAGAACCCTTCGTCATGAATGTGACCATTCAAGGCCTCCACCCATCATAGCTGTTCACAGATCATGGTGATCCATAGCACCTCCATAATTAAATGCCAGACCAGCCCTCCCCTCCCTTCCCCTCCAAGCCTCTGTAATCTGAAGCAGCTTCCGGGGCAAATGTGGGCACAGGACCTCCATGCACGTACTAACCAGCTGATTCTCGTTTCTTCTCTCTCTCTGTCTCCTGTCTTGTGTGTGTGGCCTGCACTATCCCTGGGTGTCTTTCTACTTCGTCCCACCTTCCGCATGACCCAGGACGGGGCTCTTCACCCCGGACATGGCCTTTGAAGCCATTGTGAAAAAACAGATTGTAAAACTCAAAGAGCCAAGTTTGAAGTGTGTTGATCTCGTGGTCTCAGAACTGGCCACAGTCATTAAAAAGTGTGCTGAGAAGGTAACAGGTTTTGTTCTTATCGCCTCCGCATTTGTCCCCCATCTTATCCCTTCCATTTGTTTGTCTCAACCCAAGCATCTGGAAAATTCTGCCTCGGTAGGAATCCCCTTCTGTGGACCAGTTGTCACCTGTTGATATCTCAACTTTGCATGGGCAGCTGTGGGAGTTGGGTCACAAACACATCCCACCTTTGCAGTTTCAGGTACAGTGGGGACTGGAGGCCTTTGACATCGTCAAATGCATTGCTTTTACAAAGCAGTGCCTATCCCTGCGACCCTTGGACAAGAGTGGTTTCCCAGCTATCACCAAAGCTCTGAAACATATTGTCAACTTGTAGACCCATACGTCTTTAGATTATAGGGCGTTTGAGAGGTTTTCAGGGGCAATTTGACCAACCAATCCATTTTCCCCAACTTGTGGATTTAACCCAAACCACGAAAGGTGTGACTCCCACACAAGTGTGGTTTGGTTCAGTCACTGCTGCAGACAAAGTTGAGGGGCCCTGGGGTGTTAGCCCAGTGGGTGCCAGAAATGCAACAGTAAGGAATGGTGTCTGGCAAGGGGGTCCCTCCGAGGTGGATGGCCCAGATGCTGCCCTCGTTATCCTAGAGGAGGTGCTAGACACAAACTTGGCAAGCACCTCCATGGTCTTGTCACCCAGCGCTGTGCAGGAGGGGCCTGCTGGAACCTTGAGTGGCAAATCCATGCCATTCGCTCTCTCTGCCACCTTTCACCTACCAATCTCTGGCTTACAAAGCGGCTCCTGGTGCATGCATGCGCACCCTCTCCCTCTCTCCACTCCGCCCCCTGCCCACCGTCCTGTTCTTGTCTCCCAGCTGGAGCAGCTGTGAGATGGGAACAGAGTGGGGACTTGGCCCCCCATGTCACTCCCCTTGCATTTTCTACTTGTGTGGTTCGTGTTTCTCCCTGGTCAGGCCACTAGGATCCCACCAACACGAGCCCTTTGCTTGTTCCCTAGCTCAGCTCTTACCCGCGATTGCGAGAAGAGACAGAGCGAATTGTCACCACTTACATCCGGGAGCGAGAGGGGAGAACCAAGGACCAGGTATTGGCGCTTTGTCTTATTTTCCAGGTATAAATTTTAGGTCATCAGTTTTGAGTATAGGTTCTGTAAGTTCTGACAAACGCATAGAGCACTAATCAAGATTTAGCGTGGTGGGCTGAGGATGTGGCTCGCTGGTAGGCTTCTTGCCTCATGCACGTTTGATCCCCAGCACTATTTAAAAAAACAATTCCAAATTATATCTTATGGTTCTGTGACCTCCCCGCAGGTTCCCACCCTTGTGCCCCTCTGTGGGAGACTGTTCCACCCCCAGTTCCTCCCTGTTCCTGCAGATTTTTGTTTGGGCTCCTATAGCACCTGTCCTGGTGACTGGGCTTCCCTGACCCAGCACCGTGCACGTTGGGTTCCTGGTGGTGCTTGTCACACATGCTGGGAGCTCGCGGCTGTTGGTGCTGAGCAGCAGTCCCTGTGGATAGAGCACAGCTCCTGCTATCCATGTGCTCACCAGAGGGCGGCTGGGGTGCCATGGTGGAGAGTGGGGCATAACCCCATATAGCCTCCCTTCTCTGTAGCAGTCTCATCTATCACCTGCTGAGCCCCGGGAGTCACAGGTGACTCCACATGTGAGTTGTGTCACTGTTCCTTAATTGTCCTTTTTTGTGGCCTTATAGCAACTGTTAAATCCAGGTCCAAGATGAACATATGTGTTGCGTTTGCTTGTGTCTTGTTTTATTTAGAACAGTCCCCCTGTTCTGGTCTTCACTGGGGAAGAACGTGGCTCATTTGTCCTGGAGGGCTTCCCCTAGTTCCCACTGACCAGTCGTTTCCTCTGTGAGCCCGTCCACTGTTGCCTCATTGCCTCGTAGTTTCTGGAGCCTGGAAGTTTTATCAAAAGCCTGGGAGATTCCAACTCATTTTGTCATTGTTGGCAGAAATGCTGCTGTCCCTTGCAAATGTACACAGCCCCTGGTGCCCCACAGTTGACAATGCCAGAGAGCTCTGGTCCGAGAGTTCTGGGGTGATCATTTGGGCTTTACAAAACCAGCCCTCAGGAGTCCCCTTAGACAGAGCACCCCTCGGCATTCTCCAACAACCTCCAAGGCCCCAATTTATCTTTGAGAACTCCAAGGCACACAGAGGGAAAGTGACTGGCCAGGGATCAGTGGGAGCCTGGTTGCGGGCACGAGAGCTCCTCTTCCCCAGCCGCCTGGCCTGGTCTTAATGGAAATTGCGCCAAAGAGCTTTCTGAGCCTGTGCTTCCCATCAAGCACCTTCATCCTGGCCAAACTCGGACAGGGATTGTTGCGAGGAATTTGCACAGTGTGGGGCGTTTGCAGGTGCCGTCCGGTGTCTGAGACTGCATCTTCCTGATGTGTGTGTGCAGACGTGTGCACATGTATGGGTGCCTTTGTGTGTATGTCTTATTTTAATGTTCTCACTTAGCCAGTTTATCTTTGCAGTTTTCGTTTTTGATTTTAACATTTTATTTTGAAGTAATTTCATTAGGGAAAATTTCAAAAATAGAACAAGAGTCTACACTATTTACTCAGAATTAGCTATTACCTTTTTACCTGTCTTTTTCATTCATTCTGTTTGTATTACAATAGAATATGTGCACACTTATACACACACCACACGTGTGTATGTGTGTAAGCTCTTTAGTTTGAATGTAGCATTTATAATGCATTGGGTGCTAAAGATTTGATGCACTGTAAATGCTGGAAACCTGGCTGGGGCAAGGCTGAGTGGTCGAGCTCATGCTGAGCATGTGCAGGGCCCAGGGTTGCATCACTAGCACTGCAAAGAAAAAAGAAAACATTGAACCCTGTGCAGTAGAGCCTCCCGTTAATCACATTCCACAGCTTAGTAATAAAAGATCCAGGGTCACGGGCTACTTAGAGTCGGAATGAGACTCCAGCTCTAGTGGTCCACTGGGCTGCCTGGCACTGTTCTCTTTTAGTGCAGTCATTTTTCTTTCTTTCTTTTTTTTTCTTTTTCCTGGTACTAGGGTTAGAACCCTGAGGACTTTACCACCAAGCTACAACCCCAGTTCTTTTTTTATTTTGAGGCAGGGTCTCACTAAATTGCTGAGGCTGGCATTGAGCTTGTGATCCTCCTGCCTCAGCCTCCCAAGTTACTGGGATTACAGCATGTCCCACTTTGCCCAGTTTAGCCCAGTCTTGCTTGTGTGTGCTGTTCTGACCATGGAAGTACCCTGTCCCCTCTGTGTGCTTATGGGCCCCCAGCCCCACCCATCCTGGCTCTCGCCTGGGAGGCTGTGTGGTTCTGGGCCTTCTGACAGGGTGCATGACGTGCTCTTGCTGCTGCCTCTTCTATCTTGGCTGGGCTTTATACCCACAGATTTCCACTTTCTCCCAGATTCTTCTTCTGATAGACATCGAGCAGTCCTACATCAACACGAACCATGAAGACTTCATTGGATTTGCCAAGTATGTACTTTTGGGGACAGTGTCTGGTGGGGCGGCCCTAGGGAGGAGTTAGGTTCCCTCAAGAGGGAGGAGCCAGAGGGTCTCTGTCATGGGGGTCCCTGGTTAAGCACAGAGCCATTAGAGAGTTTGTGGGCCCTGACCCAGTGTCCCCACCCAGCATGTTCTCTGTGGGCATCCCAGTAGCTAGTTTTATGAAATAAAAAGATAGTCCTTGGTCAGATTCAGGGGTGGGGCTGGCTAACTGCAGTGCTCCTTTCTTCGAAGAACTTTCAGAGCCTTTGTGGACCAGTGTGTGGCTTGTTTCAAACCTGGCTCTTTCACAGCCAGAGCCTCCTACAGGCTCTGAGCTTCAGAGGGTCTCCGTGGGATGTGCTCTTTGGGGTGTGTGTGACTTCTGGGCATGTTGGAAGTTTAAAAACAGAATCTCATGGCACTCAGATGTGGGACAGGCTTTGATTTAGGCAAGTCTTAGACAAAAATGGTATGGTCTTGGGTGTCACCTCCCTGATTCCATTACCTCTGGGTCCCCTTGACAAGCTTGTACATCACTTGGATTGTTCCGTTCCACCAGGCACCAGCTTCCTTGTACCAATTTAGCAGATACAGCTGGTGCCTTCTTGTGCCAGATCTGGTGATAGAGCAGCGTGTAAGCACAGGCCAGGTTCCCACCCCCAAGGAAGGCCCTGGCAAGCACAGGCTTGTACCCTTGCAGTTAGCATGCAGGATGATCGGGGCCAGGTGGGGACTGTGAGGGTCCCAAAAGTCCCAAGGGACTGGCCTTGGTGTCCTGGAGGCTTCCTTAAGGAGGACCTCCTGGTGCCGAGACTTGGACAGTGTAGGCCTTTGGTAGAAAATGTACCAATGAACTGGACAAAGTGGATGGAGGTTATGTTCTGTGCTGGGTGGGTGGGAGATGAGTGCATTGAATGAATGAATGAATGCTCCTCCCCAAGCCCAGGAAGCTGAGGGCCCTGTCTGGGCTGTCCCCACAGGGGGTGGTCTGGGGAGCCCCAGATGTGGGCTGTGCTTAGGTGCAGTTCTCAGAGCCTGAGACAGACGGCCTTCAGCCCTGAGACAGCCCTCCCACCCGTTCTCCCTGCCACCAGGTGTGCGTAGGCAGAAAACGCTGGTCCCTCTCTTTGGTTTGCTGCAGTTTTCCTCACTTTGATGTCTCTGCTTCTCACACTTCATCCACAGTTCCTTCTCACAATCTCTCCTGTTTTTCCTTTGACCACTCCACTCTTTCCTCTGGATTCCGGGGCCTTCCCACTTACCCCAGCTGTTACTATACTGAGCAGCTGGTCACCGGGTGGGTATTGCCTGCTGTGTGCCTTTTCCCTGGTGTGTGAATGGGGACGCCTTGGCTGGGTGGCCCTAAGGCCCAAGGGGATATCCCAGAGGTCCACTGAATAGCAGTGGAACACTGTCTCAGAGATGGGGCCAGTTCAGGGTCTTTGGATAAGGTCAGTGAGTGAGGCAGCTATAGCCCCTGCCCTTTTGGAGCTCCCAGCCTAGGAAGATGGAGTCATTGGTCAAGACGTGACAGAAAGAAAAGACTAGAAAAGGAGAATAGGCAAGGGCTATGGGAAAGGAGAGTGAGGACTGGAGAGACATTCCTGAGAAAGTCATGATAGCAGGTGACAGGCAGGGCCCCAGGGAAGGAAGGCCAAGAAATAGAGCAGGGGGCGACCAAGACAAGGTGGAAGTGACAGGAACTGGTGGCCACACCCCTCACCAAGAGGACCCTATAGGATGCAGGGAAGAATCTGGAATTTGGTACCTGGAAATCTCTGATTGGGTTCAGCAAGGGCGAGGGCCCACCACATGGGCTGTTTGAGGAAGGGTGGAAGCCTTTAGGGGGCAGCACATCTGGGACCTCCTGCCACCCACCCTTGCTGTGAGTGTTGTCTGTGCTCGTTCTCACCTCCCTCAGATGCCATTGGTCACACTCCTTTCTGTCCTACAAATGTTACAAACAACTCATAGTAAATGGCCTATGGTAATCACATAGAACACTAGGAAAATTGTTCACTAACATTTTGTCTTCATTCTTAATACTCCAGCCTTTACTGATTTAGAACTAGAAGCTTCCTGTACATACACAAACACTCGTTCTGCCTTATCCATCAGCCAACTTAAACTGTAAAACAAAACCCCAGAGGTAAAGGAATGAAACCAAGCTGGTTTGCTTTTTGATATTATTCTCAAACTTCCAGCTAAAGCAATGAGATAAGAAAAGAAAATATGATGGAGATGTAAATTGTTTGCAGGTGGTAGTATGATTATTTGAATGGCAAATGTATTAGAAAGGGGGTTGAGTGGGTGCACACATAAAATACAGTGGCCTTCTGTACCTATATGAAGTAGCCAGGAGATAGGATGGATAGAGAATAAAAGAAGCTGGGCATGGTGGCACACGCCTGTAATCCCAGCTGCTTGGGAGGCTGGGGCAAGAGGATTGTAAGTTGGAGGCCAGCCTGGGTAATTTAGTGAGATTCTGCCTCAAAATAAAAAAGGGATTGGGCAGTGGCCCAGTGTCTGAGTCTGGGTTCAATTCCTAGTACCATTAAAAAGAAGAAAGAGGGCTGGGGATATAGCTCAGTTGGTAGAGTGCTTGCCTCACATGCACAAGGCCCTGGGTTCAATCCCCAGCACCACACACACACACACAAAAAAAAAAAAAAAGAAAGGAAAAAAAAGAAGAAGAAGGCAGGAGGAAGAGAAAGGAGATCGGCAACTATAGACAAATAGGGTTCCTGATTGAACTTAAATGTCCTCTGACTTGGGTCAGGAGCAATCAGAGACTAGTGCCATTTTCATAGCCAGCAGCTATTCCACAGTCTGACCCCCAGGGCTGGATTGCTTTGTGGTTAGTGCTACTTACAACCTGGTATTGGTGTTAGAAATGGGAAGAGAGAGTATAGGGAGAAACCTCAAGTGTCTGACCCTCAACCATCCTGGTGCAGAAGTACCCCTGGAGTTACCTCCTGCCTGCCTCCCAGCTACCTGGCACTCCAGCTTCTCCTGTCCCCTCTTAGAAGCTCCAGGATCTTGTGGAAAAAAAACTGGCACTTTTGGGGTAGTGAGATCGGGGTCTAGAAGCATTAGTTCAGCCACATGTGCTTTCTTGTTCTCTAGGCCCCAGCTGTTTTTCCTGGGCAGCATGCAGACAGCATCTGTCTTCCTCTGTCCATAGCTGGTCAGTTGGTCCCCCAGGGAAAGAACCCCACCTGGGCAACCAGGGCCTCTTGCTCCTTATCCCTCCTGGCATCTCATCCACATGTGCTTTCTCTGCTTTGATTTCAGCGCCCAGCAGAGGAGCACACAGCTGAATAAGAAGAGAGCCATCCCCAACCAGGTAGCTTCACCAGGCTGCAGTCACCACTCCACCATGGGGGTGGGGGAGGGTGCAAGAGATGACCGAAACCCAGTAATGGCACTTTGCACATGAACTGCCCTGCCAGGAGCTCACCCCTAAGCACCAGACCATCCACTCTGTTAGCCTCCGAAGTCCACTTAGATATCAGTGTTTCCGAAAACAGTCTGAGTGCTGAAGCTTTGGTAGGGCCACAAGAGGCAGATTTCACATGCAGGGGGTGCTGTCCTATTTGATATCTGAGGCCAAGATTAAAGCCTGGCCCTCGAGATGGGGTGACACAACCATCACCCAAGGTGTCTATAAGCAAATTGAATTTCCCATCTCCTGCCCCAAGTATTGGGGACCTGTTGGTGAGAACCATGGAGGCTACATTGTCACAGGCATCTCAGAGAAGTCTGGGGTGGTTTGAATCCCATACCCAGACAGACCCTGAGCCTTGATAACTTGTCCCAGCTAGAGGTCTTGCAATGGCTTTATAAATACCAATATTAGATGGGTTTTTTGGTTTGTTTGTTTTATGGTTTTTTTTTTTTTTTTTTTTTTTTTTTTTTTTTTTTTAAGAAAACTTGTCTTTGTAAAATTTCTGCCACTTGTCCCCACCTTTTCCACATCAGGCTGAGGTGGGGGTGGGGATGGGGGCGGGGGCTCTGCTGTTTATCTTGCACGATTATAGAGTTGATGAAAAAAAAGAATGTAACCTCTGCATGATTTTTTTTTTTTTTTGCTGCTTGCCATAGGTAATATGTACATTGTTGCTTTTTCATTTTGAGAGATGATAATGAATTAAATATTAACACCATGAATATAATTAATAGCATGTAATTTTTTTCTTTTGCTGTTTTTTCCCCTGCTCCTCTCTTCTCCCATTATTGTGCTTTTTCCTGCTTTTTCTCTGTCCCCTCATGTCCCTTTCGTCTCTTTTCCTCTGCCTGCTCTTCCTTGATTTACCCACAACCCTAACTTTGCATTCTCAAAGGGGGAGATCTTGGTAAGTACCTGCTTAGTGTGGTAGCAAACATTAGAGAACCTAGTATCGGTGGAGATCCCGCCCACCCTGTAACATTCCCTTCCCCACAAAATAACCAAAAAAAAAAAACTAAAAATAGAGCTAACCTGGAAATCCCATGTCACAGTTGTCATTGGACTTTGCATTGTCTGGGTGTCAATTGCCCTCACACAAACACTAACCTGACCACCACCTTTGTCAGAAGCCCACCTCTCCAGCTGATGCCTGGCGGGTTCACCTAGGGTCCTATAGATCAGGGATGGCAAATAATCAGCTTATATACTATCCCTGCCTCTGCTCCACTTCCCTGGCTGTGGAAGATTCTCCTCGAGCCCTACTGAAATTTTTTATTGCTGCTGTCACTCCTCTTTCTGCCTCCAGTGCAGACATCCCTCACTGACCAGAGCATGTTTTTCCATATGCAGAAATTTCCTCTCCTGTGCTCATGGCAGGCATGGCTAATTGATTCAGCCCTCTTCCCCATTTACCTTTCCTCCATCATGTGCCAATGGCAGACATTGCTAATCAATTCTGACATTGTATCCTAATACATATGCCACCACTCCCCATTCTGTGACCGATGTGACTAACTGATGAGGGCTTTTAAAATTTCTTCATATAATCCTGCTTCTGTATCCATGGCAGGCATGCCTAATCATTCAGGGTGTGTTTCCTGGATTGCTGCCACTAGCCTCCAGCCTCTGTAGCAGATAATGAGACTGTTCTGTTCCATATGCCCCCTTTCCTTATCCTTTGCCTGGGACAGACATCCATAATCAATCCTAGTACCTGTTCCTGCCATTCTCAGAAATCTCACCACAGTGCTCTGGGCAAGGTGAATTGTATTTGCCATCCCTGCTGTAGGTAACGCCTCCTCCCCTTGCTCAAGCCCTTGAGTGGCTCAGCCCAGCCCAGGAGTGGGCAGAGGCCACTTGCATCTGAGAGTTGAGTCCAATTCAAGGCACTCACTGCGGGCAGCTGGCCTAAGCCTCAGCCTGAACCTCAGAGAGCACTGCTCTAGCCTTAATAGAGGCCCCCTTCTCCAGGACATTCTCCCACTGCCAGCCCTCTGCAGAAATCTTCCAGTAACCCCAGGATCAGTAACTGAGACAATGCTATCTCAGGGCTTTGATGTGCCTGGGTTCCTAGAAGATAAAATAAAGATAGAGCCAAAGCAAAAGCCTGGACCCGTGGGGAGGATGTTTGGGGGAAGAGATTGGCTTTAGGCCTGTGGTTCCCTCTTGCCACACACCCCTCCCCTCACCAAGTTCCTTTGAACTTGAAAATTTTCCTCCCCAAACAGTTCAGGCACATGCCTGCTTTCCTCCTCCCCACATCCCAGATGTTTAGTCATTATTCTTTTCCTATCAGATTCTACAACCCTGGCCATAAAGCCTTGAGTATGGCTGTGGCCTCTGGGTGTCCCAGCCATGGTTTCCACCCCTGCCTGGGACCCTGACTCAAGAGAGAAGGCTGGCCTAGCCTGCCCGCTGACCCCAGCTGCACTGCTGCTTGCCTGCTGCCCCTGGCTGGCCCTGCCCACCTCTCTGCGCGCCTACCTGCCTGTCAGTTGTGCACCCCGGACCTCAGGAGCCCTACCTGTCTCTCCTGTCTCCCTGCCCCGTACCACTCCCACTTCCTTATAAGCCCAGTCCCCTGGGGATGGCCCCTTGGCATTCCCTTTCTTTGGATCACTGTGTGTGTCTGCCCACAGCTCACTAGAGAGGGATTTAGGCTCTGACCCTTCTGAGCACTCATGCAGGCAGCTCTCTAGGTGGCCTGAAGGGAAGGTGCCTCAGGGCTTTTGCCAGGCCTCACCCGAAGCCTGCACTCCCCAGCCTCCTGCTCCAAGGCCTGGGTATGCTGTTCCTCAAGGGTGTGCTCTGGGAAGGGCCCCGCCCATGGCCATGCCCCTGAAGCACAGTCTGTGGGCTCTGGCCTCCCCTAGCCTCAGGTGGGAAGCAGGCAGCCCAGGCCACAGAGGGATGGTTGGAGCAAGCTCTCTCCCAGGAGAGCAGAGACCACACCATGCAGGATTTCTTCTTTTGGGGAGCAAGGACAGCCTGGATCCCTATTTTCATTCCATGACTAAACCTAAGCCTACTATGCTCTTAATCTGTGCCAACCCCTGGCCTACACCTGGGTGAGGCAACCCCTCTGTCTGCCCTTGGGTAGATGAAGGAGCAGAACATGGCCGCCATAGAAAGCCACTCGGGACTGGGCCATATTGTTAGAACCACGGGGTCCCTTCTGGGTCCTCCTGTGCAGTTTGGCCTTGGCCGCAGTCTTTCTGGAGACCAGCTTTGCTAACAGCACAACAACTGTCCCAGTGAGTCTGGGATTGAGCACATTCCAGAACACTGAGCCATCCATCCTTCCATGCTGAAATCAGGACATCTTGGAAAAATTAGGATGATGGTCACCCTCTTGTCAGGGAGACTATCATGACCTTGTTTGGGCTGTTGGCATATGTTCCTGATGGCTGCAGGGGTCCTGAGATCTCTTTCTCATCCCAGCAAGTGATAAGTCTATACCCTTGACCTTAACAAAGGGTGCCAGGTGGCAACTTTATGCTGTCCCCAGCCTGGGCAGGGACTTCAGCATGGTACAGGGTGCCTGGGCTTTCTGTGGAAGACAATGTGCAATCATGGGCAGGGGCCATGGGTTGGTGGCCCTGTTAAAATTTGGTACCCTGGAGGGAGGTTCAGTAGGCACAGTGAAGCTCCTTCTGAAAGCTGCCTACCAGGAAGGTTTCTGGGCCCCAAACTCATCCCTAGAGACACCATCTCAGGTTCTCCTGCCTAGTGCTGCCCTGGGAGTACCCAGTACCAGCCCTTCCAGCTGTCATGGCCATGTGCAGCCCACCCTCTAGAGCTTAGCCCGTCTGTTGCTGTCTTGGCCCCAGGCAGCCCTGTCTGTGCCTCCATGTGCTTTCACTGCCTGGGGTTCCCAGTTCAGTGGGGGGCAGGGGGGCTCTGGTCCACATGTACCTACCTCCATGTCCCAGGGATCATGGGAGCATAAGAACGTGGCCAGCCCCCTAGGCTGCCTGCATTTAGCCATCAGGTAAGTCTCTAAGCAGGCCTGGGGTCTTCTCTGCGCTCGATGACAGCGACAGCCAGACATCCCAGGGCCCTGAGATGCCATGCAGAGAAAACTGCAATTGCTGGGCTTAAAGCCACACTGGGGCATGATCCAACCCCGATAGTCCTTGTAGGGTCCCTGAGGAGGTTCCTCTGTGCTCCAGACTTTGTCACCAGCCCTCTAGGAAGAAATGTCCTCCCAACCCTAGTGACCTGGGCACAGTTGAGCCAGCAGTGAGGGTAGCAGTCAGTGGAGTGGAGTGAGAGTCATTCCATGGCATGGGCTCCTGCAGTCCTCCAGTGACAGCCACCTGCCAGAGGGCATGAGGGGTGACGCTGAGGGCACCCCTGGTTACCTTATCTCACCCAAAGAAGATGTCACCTTCCATGTGCCCCTGCCCTGAACACAAGCCCCAGACTTCCCCCTGGGCCTCTTTCTACCAGGTGGGCGTGCATTTTGCCTCCTGGTTAACCAAGTTAGCCCCAAGCACAGAGGGCCTCACAGGGTCCTGGTTCCCTATCAGCACTTGAGCCAGTGAGTTACTGTCCTGTCTGTCTGCCCACCTGCCTGGGCACCCTGCTGGGTTTCCAACTGGGAGTGCTTGGGGTGAGATGGAGTTGGGTTCTCCTGGCTTAGGGCTAGAGGTGTCTCTGCCATGGTCCCCAGCTTCCTGCCTTGCTATGGGGTGAGGGTGCTGGCTGCTGTGCTGGGGGGTAGCCAGGGTGATGGAACACCGTTCCCCGCTAAGCCATGTCCTCCCCCCCAGGTGATCCGCAGGGGCTGGCTGACCATCAATAACATCAGTCTGATGAAGGGTGGCTCCAAGGAGTACTGGTTTGTGCTGACAGCCGAGTCACTGTCCTGGTACAAGGATGAGGAGGTGAGTGGCCGGTGGCAAGGGCTGGGTGATGGGGGTTGTGGGTGGGTAAGCCCACACCTGCTCCGTCTAGGCAGCAGCCATCCATTCACTCACTCATTCACTGTTCATTTGGGGAAGGTTCTAGAGGGCAGGCTTGATGTGCTGGGCATGTCTCATCATAACCCAGCCCCTTGCTGTCCCCTGTGAGGTCGAGCCTGATGGCAGTCAGTTCCCACAGGGGGAAAGGGGTTCAGGAGGTGAAGAGCTGCCAGGAGGTTGGAAATGGACCCTAGGCCTGAGCACCATAACTCTCATGAGAGGGGCCACAGCTAAGGGTTGGGAACTCAAGTGCAAGGCCAGGCTCCTGGAATGTGGGTTTTGTCACCCATGGGCTTGGCCAGGCTCTCAGGGCCTTGGTTTCCTTACCTGTGAAGTGAGATAGAATGCTCCCTTCCCCCTGTGTGGTGCGTATCCATAATGAGTGTCTTTTGAACAGTATGCACATTCGTGTCATTGTGAGAAGGAGATGGAGAGGCCTCTGGGGACTGTGGGAGTAAGAACTACAGGGAACTATGTTGTATGTGGAATCCTACCAAGGGGCTCATCCATTTGGCTTGAAACTACGCACTTGGTGGACCTGTGGGCAATGAGCTATGAGCCAGCTCAGCCCCGGCCCAGCAGACCCTCTTCTGAGCAGTTCAGACAGGCTCTGCCACCCAGGCCACTTCTGCTCTGTGCTCGCCCACCCTCCACTCCTGGCTGACTCATTTCTTGGTCCTGTCAGTATAATGACAACCACAGTTTAGCAGGTGGGGAGTGAAGCCACTTCTTCACAGTGACGTGGGCCAACCATAAGGAATGCAGTTTCTCTCCATAAACTCAGCCAAGATTGCTTTAAGCAGGTTATTAATTTAGGTCTGTAACAGAGGTCCCAATGAAGGCATGCAGAAATTCAGAAATCTGTTTCTTGTTCGTGTGTCTGTGAGCTTGGTGTGCCCCTGCTGCCAGAATGTCCAGGGCCTGGGCTCCGCCTTCTCGGTCACCACCTTAACACATGGCTCCTCCTCGCTTTCCAAGACCGTCCCCATGTCCATCATCACATGGCTTCTAGCAGCCCCAAGAAAGGAAAGAAGAGTTGAGTATGGTGGTGCACACCTGTAATCCCAGTGGTGCAGGAGGATCACAAGCTAAGGCCAGCCGCAACAACTTAGTGAGGCCCTGAGCAACTTAGCAAGACCCCTGTCTCAAAAAAAAAAAAAAAAAAAGCTTGGTAATATGGTTCAGTGGTTAAGCACTCCTGGGTTCAATCCCATGTACCAAAAAAAAAAAAAGAATAGAAAAAAGAAGAGGGCAGATGAGGGGAATGCTGGCTCCATTTATGGGCTCCTAGGCAGCAGTCTGTTCACAAGGCTACTCTGTGGGAACTGGGCACCTAGCTGACAGTTCATCACCCTAAGAAGAACATGAGAACCAGAGTTTGATGCCTAGTGTTCTACCAGGATCGTGAGCAGGTATTCTCACCCCTTTATGTCTTGTCTTCCTATCTATAAAGTAAAGGCCATGGCCTGCTTTCTGTGGGGCTATGGGAGTCCGAGGGGGTAATCCTGGTTCTAAGCCAAACGCAGGACCTGGCTCTTAGCATGTTCTTGGTGATTTGTCCTGGTGGTCGCCTCAGGTTAGTCCTCCAGCCATTCTGCATGAGGGAACACCCCCCAATTCACAGAAGGGGAACCAGAGTCTTTGAGGGTGTTTTTCTCAAGATCATGCTGGGGCCCAGCTCCAGATCTTGGCGTGGACTAGCATTCACTGCCCAAGTGCTTCACTGCGATACAAAGCCAGCCAGCTAATGCCCATGGTCCCTGGGATGGCACAGCAATGACAGCACAGCAGGTGTCCTCCATGATGAAGCCAAGCTTCTCTGATCACTTCTAGAGTGGGAGGAGGCCAAATGGAAACGCACTACTCTGGGGGTCTCTCCAGGACAGGCTGGCCTGGGCCCAGCCTTGTGTCCTTCCAGTCAACCTTAGAGAGGAGGCAGTTGGAGCTTCCTTGAGGAAGCAGCAGTGGGAGGGCCTGCACATTTATGCAGCCCCCTCCCTGTGGCAGTTCCAGGGCTAGGAGAAGTCACTGAGTCCCCACAAAAGGCACCCTCCTCCCTTTCCTCAGCAAAGTCTCAGGCCTGCCTTAGGCATGGCACTGTCACCCCTCAATTGCCAGTTGGGAAAATTGAGATGTGTCCCTGTGTGGTAGACACCCCTCGCCTATGACCGTCTGTGAGCACATGCCAGCTGACCTGAGGGACAGCTGCCCCTGTGTTCAAACCACTCCCCCGTAGCTCAGGCTGGATACAGTTACTGCAGGGGAAGGTATTGGTGTGAAAGGTGGTCATCCCTCTTCACACGAGGCTTACACACTCAGCCCTGGACAGTTCCTGGAGCTTTCAGAGCCCTGTGCCCCCTGAGGGACCCTGCTGGGGACTGTTCTAATCCCAGGGTGGTGGGGTCGATAGAGCTACCACAAGAATTTCTGGGGTATACCTGGAACCCTCCAGAACTCCAGGCCCAGCAAGCCTGACAAGGTTGACATGTAGAAGCAGGTCAAGACTGGGTGTGGGCTGGCCTCCCTCCACCCACCCCCACCGCCGCCCCCTGCCATCGATTCTTCAAGAAACCATGGGTCTGGCCAGGCATGGTGGTGCAAGCCTGTAATCCCAGCTACTGGAGAGACTGAGTCAGGAGGGTCACAAGTTTGAGGTCAGCATGGGCAACTTAGTATGACCTTGTCTGAAAATGAAAAAGGCTAGGGATGTAGCTTAGTGGTAAAGCACCCCTGGGTTTGATCACCAATACTGCAAAAAAAAAAAAGAAAAAAAGAAGACGAAGAAGAAGTAGTAGAATAAGCAGCTACAGAGGCTATGGGATCCATCACTCCTCAAAATGGCCGGGGTGAGGGGGTGGGGACAGCCCTTTCACATTCCCTCCCCTCGTTTTACCACCAGTCTGAAACCCAGTCTGCTCTGTGGAATGTCAGCTGTCCAGGGTCTTTGGTCCCCCGGGGCAGGACCAGACTGGAGCAGCCGAGACAGCAAGGCATTGGAGTCCCATCTCCAGCACTGCACAACAGAGAAAAGTCAACCGGGGCTGGCCCCTGCCCTCCATTGTTTTGGGGGTGTGCGGATCTTCTGGATTCTGCCCATGGAAAGACCAGGCCCCGGGCAGGGTGCCACAGTGCGGCTGCTGGGCCAAAGCCTAGACTGCGCAGGTCACCGTGTGGCCGCGCTGCAAGTCCAAGTTTACGAGCTCCTCTTCTGTACCTTGAGGAAGCGCCCTTTGATTTTCCCTCGTTGCGGGGGGGCATTTTAAGCAGGAGCCTCCTACCCTCCCTGGAGGCCCCAGACTGGAAGCAGGGGCAGGGTTGGGAGGAGGTCGGGCGCTGGTGGTAATGAGAACCAGCCAGACCCGTGAAAGGGGCCCTGTGTGTGCCCCAGACACAAAGCAGTCTAAGATCAGAAGGGACAGGCACAAAGTACTATCCCCTCCCTGCACCACTGCCCACACTGGGGACCCCAGCAGTCACCCCCAAGGGCCAGGCCACTTTTGTAGAAAAGCTTTGGTGAGAGGCAAGATGTCAGAATTTCTTTATTTCTGAAATAAATGAGGAGACATTAACAGCGGAAGGGGAGAGAGGGGAACAATCCAGCTAGAGACCCCCAAGCCCAGTGCTCCCTTGGCCTTTATCCAGCACCTCGTCTCCCCCGCCCCCCAGACCCTTCTTCTTTGCTCCAGAATCTTCAGTTAAGTCTCCAACCCAGTAGGAAACAGGACTGTGGAAGGTGACACTTACCTCGAGGTGTGCCTCACTCTGGGGGTGGCAATAAGTTTAAGGGACCGGCGGGGGCCATCCTGAAGAGCTGCTTGCCCAAGCCCAGCCTAACCAATGTGCAGACTACTGTACACATTCAGAGCCTCCTGAACACTAGTCTGAACACTGGGATGGCGGGGCCGGCTGTTCATCCCTTGGGCCCCCAGCACGGCAACGGCAGGGCCACCACGCGAGGCCATGCCTCTGCTCCTCTGAACAGGCGAGAAAGCCACTGCTCCTTCTGCGACAGTCTGCTCTGTCGTCTCTTCTGACGTGGCAAGGCTGCAGCCGGCTCACATCTGGAGAAAGTTGTGGGTTTTCAGGAAATCCAAAGGAGGGGGTGGGGGAGGAGGTTGGTGGGAGGGAGGGTTGGGTCGGTGGCCTGTGCGCAGATCTCTGGGGTGGGGGAGGGGTGCCAGCACTCCTCTATGTCTGTGTGTGCCTGTGTTCTGTGTGTGTGTATGTGTGTGTGTGCGTGTGTTTGTGTGTGCGCACGCGCATGTGCTGGCAGTCGCAGGAAGGCAGCCACTGAGTTCTGGGCGGAATCACACTATAAACAGTTCCAGATGTGGTGTCTCGCTAGAAGCCAGGAAGGCCTCTGACTCAGTTGCTTGGCCTGGCTGGTGGCTGGGAGCTTCCTGCCTTATGACACGATGGGGCAGGGGTCACAGCGGCCCTTCCACAAACCTCCAGGAAGGCCCCAACCCTGGCCCCCTCTAAAGCCCTAAGCCCTTCCCCAAGAAGGCAGAAGGCCCTGGGCCCTGTGTGCCGCTGTTTTGTCTGCAGTAGCCGTTGACAGCCTTTCTTGGATACTGTCTCTCCCCTGGGCTCTCAGTGTCCTCCTGTCTCGTGGCCAGTGGGCCCCTCTGTCTGTGCTGTGCCCTGAATCCTTGCCCAGAACCCTGGGGGCTGGCCCTGGAGCCAGTCCTACCAGTAGAAAACCCTTGGAGCCTCAGTGGGCATGATGCTAGGGCTTTGCCATGTCAGCAATCCTCGCTTCCTGTCATAAGTATGGAACTTGAGTGCTTCTGTTGACGAATGGGGAAACCAAGGCACAGGCGAGAGAAGAGACGTGTTCAAGGGCACACAGTCAGGAAGGGGTAGAGCTGGCACTTGGCTTCAGCCACGCCCCCATGCGGCCAGGCCCACCTAAGTCCTGACTCTCTGCCTGAGGGGCAGCCCCTAGATCCTTTCCCTTCCATCACTGTGGCTGCTCTTGAATTCAGAGGCAGCAGCAGGGTTGAACTTCATTCTGGGGCTTTTCAACAATATGGAGACAAGACATGTGACAAAAAGTTTCTAAAGACATCTGAGTGCTGAAGAAAGGAGAATCGCAGAGAGAACCCAGCTTTGTGTCAGGTGGACATGGCTCGTGAAGTCCCACAGTGGCCCACACCACCTGCTGTGTGCCCCTGGACAGCCAGCTTTCCTCACTGAGCACAGTGTCATCCTAAGGAGATTGAAGGAGAAGGTTCCACGAGCTGATGGATGAACAGCACATGGCCTTGGTCACTGGGACCTCTGCTGCTGCTGTGGGTCACATGCATGTGGGAATCAGGGACCCCTGACTGCTTTGTTTCCCTGCTATAGAAGATTGGTTCATGGGCTGGGTGGTGGTGCAGTGATAGAGCGCTTGCCTAGCATACACAGGCCCTGGGTTCCAACCCAGTACAGCAAAAATAAAATAAAAATAAAAGCAAGTGGCACTACTGAAGGGGCTCAGTCCCGTGTTGGGCACAGAGTAACTGCGTAGTCGATGTTAGTGGGTTATACAGGTCTTGTGGTGCCACCTCCAGCTGTGACTTGCAGGCGGAGGGTCACACCTCTGAGCTTCCTCCCCGGCAGCCTATGGAACTGCCATGCCCGACACTTGGTGGGCACTCCCTGAAGGGGGCCACCCTTACAAACCCACTGACAACCGGGCATGAAATGCATGCCTATAATCCCAGCCACTAGGTAGGCTGAGGCAAAGAGATCACAAGTTCAAGGCCAACCTGGGTGACTTAGTGAGACCCTGTCTCAAAATAAAAGGGGCTGGGAATGTGGCTTAGTGGGTTCAACCCCAATACCAAACCAAACAACAACAAAGCCACGGATGACGCCTAGGCATCAGATTTCCAGCTCTGGGATCAGGTGAAGCAGCAGTCGAGGTGTAAAACCCAACCTGCCCCCGCCTCTGCCTGCCCCTCTGTGGGGCCTCAGTCTCTCTCCCTGTAAAATGAGATCATCATGATAGTTCACTGCTAGGCCCTTTGGAAAGTGCTTCCATTCACTCACTGGGGGTTGGGGGGGGGTTGTGTTCTTCATGTCCCCACTGAACAAAATACATGGGCATCTGTCCTCCAGGAACTACTGAACCAGCCCAGGTGACATACAAGCTATCACTGGGTCACTAAAAGCAAGGCCCATGGGGGTGTGGGGTAGGGTCAGCCCATGAGGGTCCCTTCTGCATAAAGACTTGAGGTAGACAAAAGAAACCCTCATAGTTCAAGGCCATTGGCATAGAAGCAAAGGTCCTGGGGTGGGAGCCCCCTTGGAATGTACTGAGTGTCAGGAGGAGAGAGTAAGGGGGAGAGCTCTGGCAGATGAGTTAATTCACATAAAGTCAGGAGCATGGGAAGTGCCACATGCTGGCAGTAGCCCTGGCCGAGCATTCTGGCTTAAACTTCCTCATGTTGCTGGACATCCCAGAATGACTCCTGTCCCCTCTGCCCTCAGGAAAAGGAGAAGAAGTACATGCTGCCCCTGGACAACCTCAAAATCCGTGATGTGGAAAAAGGTTTCATGTCCAACAAGCACGTCTTTGCCATCTTCAACACAGAGCAGAGGTAAAGCGTCCGCAGGGCCTGGGAGGGCTTGGGATGCAGACAAATGGCTTCGTTCCTAGTCTTTAGGACCTACCTGAGTAGGGGAGCAGCTATTAGCAAAGGCCTGGTGTTTCTATGTGACCAGCCAGTGGGCCCTGGTGTCCTCCCTACTGGCCCCAGCACCATCGCCCCACAGCTCATCCCACCCACTCCAGCTGTCTCCTGTTTTCTGAAAGAAAAGTTCTGTCCTGGGCTAGCTGGCCTGCACCTCTGAGACCCAGCTTGGCCAGCAGCCAGGGCCCAAAACCTTTTAGATTATCTTTTAAGACTGGAATCAAGGCACCCAGAATAGTAATAGAAACAAGATAGACATTTCCTTGTGTAGTTACAAAAATTAAGTCTAAAGGGAAGAGAGGCAGCTCTAGGTATTGGGGCCCAGACCCCACTTCTTGTTTCTCAGACTTCCTGGACGCATGGCTCCCATCTCTTTGTCCAAGAGGGCCACCCAAACTCCAGCCATTGTAAAGCAGCAGAAAGGAAAAGAGCCACAAAGGCCCGCCCCTTCCCTTCCCTCTGACTCCCTCCAGACTCTTTCAGGGCAACCACTTGCCCACGCTGGTTGGTCAGAGCTCTGTGATGGAGCCATGGCTGACCTCGGGGCCAACACTCACTTGAGAACTTTAGGGTCACTTGCTGCCTCAGCCCTAAATGTTTGTGGAACAAGTTGGCATGTGTGCCCTGTGACACCCAAGGGGTGCTTGAAAAACACAGTCCCTCCTCTCTTGCTTCTCAAGTCCTTGGTGCTCTGCTTCTACCACCAACTTGCACAAGCCTTGCCAGGCGTCTTGGTACTGTCCTTGGAGTTCCCATTCTACCTAGTCCTGGGACTCAACCACATACATGCTAGACCTCTGATGTGCAATGGCCACTGGCAGTTATTTACATGCAAAGGATGAAATGAAATTAAAAATTCATTCCTGTGGTCGCTCTGGCCCCATTCTTAGTGTTCAGAAGCCTCCTTGGTGGGGGCAGAGTCAGGGTGTTGAGCTCAGTGATAGAGCACTTACCTACAGTAGGTGAGTTTTTGGATTCAATCCCCAGCACTGCAAAAAATAAAAATTAAAAAAGGCATTTTAGGGCTGGGGTTGTGGCTCAGCGGTAGAACGCTCACCTGGCGTGTGCGAGGCCCTGGGTTCGATCCTCAGGACCACATATAAATAAAATAAAGGTATTGTGTCAACTACAAATAAAAAATAATTTAAAAAAAAAAAAAGGCATTTTATAGAAGCTGCCTGCGCCTTAGGCTGCCACATTGGATGGACAGTACAGAACATTCCCACTGATGGGCGTGGTGGCGCACACCTGTAATCCCAGCAGTCAGGAGGCCGAGGTGGGAGGATTGCAACTTCAAAGCCAGCCTCAGCAACTTAGCAAGATGCTTTCTCGAAATTAAAAGGGCTGGGGATGTGACTCAGTGGCTATGCACCCCTGGGTTCAATTCCTGGTTAAAAAAAAAAAAAAAAAAAAATCCACTGTCACAGAAAGTTCTGGTGGAAGTTACCTCTGTAGGCTTCCTCATTGGGAGCTTCCCAACCCAAAGGTAGGTGTTATGACACACATGCTCCCACTTTGGGGCTTTTTGACAGCTTTTGGCTCCCACAGGAGAACTCAAATGAAAGGTACGGGCAGTTCCCAGGAAAAGAGTTGGCAACAAAAGCCAGAGGTACTGCTCCACCAGGCCCTCCCTGGGCCTGTGCTCTATGCCTAGTCCCATTTACGTGCTGGACACACTAACTCACAGTGACCCCTCAGCATCAAGGAGGAAGTTGCTGAAGCCATGCTGGAGCCCAGGTCAGGTTTGAGTCCATGCTCAGGCAGAGAGACGCCAGAGCTCACACCTCTTAGAGGTCAGTCAAGTCCATGGGCAGGGTCAAGCTACATGCCCCTTCCTCCTGCCCCAGGAATGTCTATAAGGATTTGCGGCAGATCGAGCTAGCCTGTGATTCCCAGGAAGATGTGGACAGCTGGAAGGCTTCATTCCTACGTGCTGGGGTCTACCCTGAGAAGGATCAGGTGAGGAGCCGCCCTGCCCTACCCGCCTAACACTCCTTGTGCTGAGCTGACCCATCTGGGAGAGGAAGGAGGCAGGTCATTACTAGACCTTGTGTACAAGGATTCTCTGAAGGTGTGTAGCTGACGCCCACTTAAGCAAGAAAAGCAGAGATGGGATCAGCTTGTCATAAGAATCCCAAAAGTTTTCAACTGAAGCTGCTACAGTCAAGGATCTCCAAGGACTTGGGTCCCATCTGCGTGGTCCTCTTTTCTCTTCCCATCCTTAAGGTGGAATGAGCATGGATGCATTTGGTCTCCAAATACATTGTTACCACAACTAGGGGAAAGGATCTGGGGGCGGAAAGGACCTACAGGATGTCAGGGCCCCTGACAACCAGGGGTGTTTGGTTATTGGTGGTAGGTACATGGCAAGCAGTACCCAAAGAAAGGCAACTCACTACAATCACCTCAGGCCTCAGTCACCCCTCACCGCCTCTGCTCCCTTTTGCAGGCAGAGAATGAGGATGGGGCTCAGGAGAACACCTTCTCCATGGACCCGCAGCTGGAGCGGCAGGTGGAGACCATTCGCAACCTGGTAGACTCCTATGTGGCCATCATCAACAAGTCCATCCGTGACCTCATGCCAAAGACCATCATGCACCTCATGATCAACAACGTGAGTGCAAAATTCAAATTAGAATGAGTCATAACATTGGAACCTGGATTGCAGGCCACACTGGGCTCCTGGTTCCATTTAATCAGATAATTGGAGCTAACACTGCGCTTGCGCACTTTGTCTAAACCCTGTATTCCCATCTCTAAGAAGTCTGTGGCCTGAACACTCCCATCTTACCTAAATTTGTCCTACCCTGGAACAAGTATAAAATTAATAAACAAAAACTGGTAGTGTTTAAAGAAAAGCAGTTAAAAGATATAATGGGAGAAAAGATATCGATAAAGGCATAAGGTACTAGGAAGAAGGGCTGGGGATGGAGCTCAGTGGTAGAGCACTTACCTAGCATATGTGAGGGACTGTGTTCAATCCTTGGCACCACATAAAAATAAACAGATAAAATAAAGGCATACTGTCCATCTACAACTACAAAAAATTAATTGATTAAAAAAATGTAAAAAAAAGGTATGATGGGAGAAAAGATACAAAGGGATAAGATACTACAATAAGGGTTTGGGGTATGATTCAGTGGTAGAGCACTTGCCTAGCATGCATGAGGCCCTGGGTTCCATCCCCCAGGACTTCAAAAATAATAATAATAATAATAATAGAAATAAATTGAACAAGAATCTTGTGAAGGCAGGAAGAGCATTTTGAAAGCACCCCTGAGAGACTCGGCAGACAGCTGGATAGAAAGCTTACCAGATACACTTCCAGCTATGCACTCCAGTGTAAAGGAAAAACCAGGGGGCTGGGGATGTGGCTCAAGTGGTAGCGCGCTCGCCTGGCATGCGTGCGGCCCGGGTTCGATCCTCAGCACCACATACAAACAAAGATGTTGTGCCCGCCGAAAACTAAAAAATAAATATTAAAAAAAAAAATTCTCTCTCACTATCTCTCTCTGTCTCTCACTCTCTCTTTAAAAAAAAAAAAGAAAAAGAAAAAGAAAAAAGGCTAAGCACATGGTGTATGCCTGTAATCCTAGCTAAGCATGAGGGTCACAAGTTCAAGGCCAGCCTGGACAACTTAGTGAGACCCAGTCTCAAAAAGGACTGGGAATACAGCTCAGTGGTAGAGTGTTTGCCCAGCTTGTGTTGGTTTCAATTTCTAATACTGCAGAAAGCGAAAAGGGAAAAAAAGCCAAAGGAATCTCTGTTCTAGATAAAGGGTGGTTTTTCAGTCATGGTGAGCCACTGAGTTCTTGGCTGGGGTGATGGGAGGGCCTGACCTCCCAACATTTGTCTCCAGACGAAGGCCTTCATTCACCACGAGCTGCTGGCCTATCTGTACTCGTCAGCAGACCAGAGCAGCCTTATGGAAGAGTCAGCCGACCAGGCCCAGCGGCGGGACGACATGCTGCGCATGTACCACGCACTCAAAGAGGCACTCAACATCATTGGGGACATCAGTACCAGCACTGTGTCCACCCCCGTGCCCCCACCTGTTGACGATACTTGGCTCCAGAGCACCAGCAGCCACAGGTCTGGGAGACTCTTCCCCTACATGCAGCAGAAGCTGCTGCTTGTGGGTGCCCAGGTCCATCCACGTATCCTTCAGGGTCCTGGCAGGAAATGGGGCACAACGAAAGGGTAGAAAGGGTGAAGGGGCCCAACCCTAGATGGCACAACACCCAGGGCTGAGCTGCTGTCCTGCCCGAAGAAACAAGGGAAGAGGTGGGTTCAAGGTGCCAGTCAGGGCTGGAGTGGGTAGAAGCTGCATATATATAATCCTGACTCCTCATTTTCCTGATTTTCTGCCTTCTGGTGCTTTCTCTTAGTTAAGCCCTTCTGAGAGAAAGAGGTCTGGGTGATGCTGGCCATGGGGGTTAGCCTCCTGGGACAGAGAAGAAAACAGGCAGGCGGGGGTGGGGGGTTCCTAACCAGCAAACCCCACCAGCAGAGCTGTTAGTAGAACCAATACCTATCTGCATGGGGTTTGGGGATACCAGGCAGGGACACAGGAAAGGTAGTTGCTCTGCTGAGACCTTACAGCACCACAGAGTTCCTTAGAAATAGAACCCAGAGTCCAGGTCTGGGGAGAAATGGGTGCCCAGGTTCAGCAGGGAGCCCACGTAGGGGCTTGCTGGTTCTGCAGCATCTGGAGGCAGTAGAGCTAGATTCTGGAAGGGTCTTGGGCTATGAGGATTGCTCAGAGGCCATGGGGGGTCCAAGTGGGGGCTGCTAAGTGGTAAATGCCCTTTAGGGTGCAGACATAACATCAGGGAAGCTGGAGCCCTTGGTGGCAGAGGGGAGGCAACGCCGGGGCATGGCTCCAGCTGTGGGTGGGAAAAGAGTCATTGCTGAGCAGGTCTAGGGAAGGGCAGAGAATCTCCCTATACCTTTGATGCCTCTGTGGCCAGAAGCCCCCAGAGTCTGGGTCCCCAGTGCCACACTGTCATGGCCGATGCTCAACCTCCCCACTTCACCTCACAGCCTCTCCCCATTCCTCCACAGCCCCACTCCACAGCGCCGACCTGTGTCAAGCGTGCACCCGCCAGGCCGGCCCCCTGCAGTGAGAGGTCCCACACCAGGGCCACCTCTGATTCCCGTGCCTGTGGGGGTCGCAGGCTCCTTCTCAGCGCCCCCCATTCCATCTCGGCCTGGACCTCAGAGTGTGTTTGCCAACAATGATCCCTTCTCAGCCCCACCTCAGATCCCATCTCGGCCAGCACGGATTCCCCCTGGGATACCCCCTGGAGTGCCCAGGTAAGGTTGGACCCCACTGGCTGCCTATCATGTAGAGCCCCCAGCCTGCACACTGGGGTCTCTTCTAGAATCTGACTCCCTCCCTCCTAAAGATCTTCTGCCATGCTCTAAGCAGGGAGTGGAAGAGTTATCACCATCCTGGGGAATGAAGGCCCAGAGAGGCCAAGTCCTTTGCCCAGAGTCAGAGTGGTAGAATCAGGGTGACTCCAGAGCTCTTGGCTCGTCCTTTAGACCTAAGTAGTGGGCCACCATGTAGCTTGGCACCCCTTGCCCTGGGTGCCTGTGAATACCATTTACCTTTGTTTCCCTACTGAGGACAAATGCCCGCGCCAGCCATTGCAGGCTTCACTCACCTCCACCCACCCTATGGGCCAGCTCTGTTCTTCCCACTTCTGTGAAGAACCTGAGATCTAGGGAGGGCAGGGGACATGCCCAGAGTCATACAGCAAGCCAGTGACTATGACACCAACAGACAAATGCCAGGATTTGTCAACTCCCTCCTGGTACCTGAGCAGTCTATGGTGTACCCATTACTGGGAACACCTTGGGGTGGGGTGGGGTGGGCTGGGTCCTCAATAGTTTCCCTGCTTCTAGCCTCACTACCCTCTCCCCCTCCCCATCTGTCTTTATTCTCTTTGCAGCAGAAGACCCCCTGCTGCGCCCAGCCGGCCCACCATTATCCGCCCAGCCGAGCCCTCCCTGCTCGACTAGGCCACACAGGGGGCATTTCCTCGGGGGTCCTCACGTACCCGCGGTGCAGGAGCTTCGGTGGTCTGGGCCCCTCTGCTGCCCCTGGCCCTCCTGCCCCTATTCTGGGACCAGGCTCCCGTGGGCAACCCCTGCCTCTTCCTCCCTAACTCGGCCCCAGTCAGGGGCTGGCCTGGCCCCCATTCTGGACTGGACACTAGAATGAAGGGGCCCCGGAGCCCCAGGCAAGGGGGTTCCAGGGCACTGCACTTTGCGGGGTAGGGTCTCAGGGTGGCAGCAGGAGTAACCACCTTGGATACCAACTCGAATGAGGGATCCCAGCTGTGGTGGCAGGGACTCTGCCAGGAGCTTCTCTGGCCGGAGATGTTCATATAGGAACAGGCTTTCTGGAAGCCGGGGTGCCAAGGGCATCTGTATCCCCTAGTCCTTGTGGGACAAGGAGTATTTCCACCTCTCTCACTGGGAGCTCCCCAGCAGAAGCCAGGCCCAGTGGGCGCAGGACTGCCCACCGGGCCCAAGTTGTACATATTCCTTCCTAGGCCATATTAACCACAGCCTGAGCCCAGCCTGAGCCCAGCTGGGGCTTGGCTGCCAGAGTTGCCTTCACCAGGCCTGGAACTCAGCCCAGGCCAGCCTCACTCTTTCCTCTCTGGGTGCCCTCCTTCTTCTGGGACCCTCAGGGTGGCTTGGGCTCTGTGTGGGTTGCGGAGGCTTTGGGAGTCTCAGCTCCCGTCAGGCCTCCTCTACCAGGCAGGCCCCGGGCATCTCTCTCAGAGCAGAACTTCTTGTTCACTCCTTTCTCGGTTTGACCACTGTAAGTGCCTGCACTCTGTATCCTATTAATAAACTAAAATAAAGGGAAGAACCTTCTGGTGGCTGCTGTGTGGGCCTTTTGTGTCGGTGTTCAGGCTGAGGTTGTAGCCTAGCCTCTCCTGGGCCTCTCACCGGGACCCCTTTCCTTCCATGAGGAGCCCTGTAACCTCACCTAGCAGGGGCTCTGCTCTGCTCTTGGGCAGTCATATTTTCTGGAGGAAGCCTGACACCAAGGGAGAGCTTTCACCTTCCTCAGTACCCCAGAATCAGAACAGATACTCCCCGCTCACCCCCAAGCCCCCAGCCCCACGCCTGGCTGCTGCAGGTGACCCAGTGCTGAGGTGGAACAGGAATCCCAGCTGCTACCCAGACCCTGCATGGTCTGACCCCTCCAGGCCTCCAGGTCCCCCTTCTCCCTCTCTTGCCCTCTTGGGGGACCCAGGCCTTTTTGCCCAGCCCGGGACACAGTTAAACTTTGCTTTCTGATTTTTCTTTTGTGCCCAGGCGACCACCTCCATCGGCTCCCGCCCGACCTTTCTTCTGAGCTTCGTGGGAGATCCCTCCCGCCTGCCTGGCTGCCCTCTTGGGGGCAGGTCTGTCCCAGCTGGTGTCCCTGAGCCCCAGTCACCAGGCTCTGTGAGATTTTCTGACCATAATTTATTGACTCCAGTATGCAGGCCGGACCACCCTTTGTTCCTTGGGGCTCCTGCACAGGCTTTGGCCAGACCACCCCTCAGCCTTGTCTGGGCCCCCTGCACAGGGAGGGGTGGGTGGTCCTGCAGACCCTCTCCTGGAGTTCTGTTACCAGACCTCACACTCAGCAGGCCCCCCGCTGGGCTGAGGGGCCAGGGCCTCTTCCTGTCAAATAAAGTGACTATCCTGGCAAGAAATCTGCAGCCCTGTCTCCTTTTCAACCCCTGACATGAGCAGGCCGCCCCCAGCCTAGGAGAGAAACTAAGGCTTAGGGTCCCACAAGTAGCAGGCACCCTCCCACCACAAGCTGGCTTGGGGAGCCCAGGTGGGGACTCGGGGAAGTTGGCTTCCTGGGCCTGTTCCACTCTGGGTAGTGCTGATGCAGGCTGGAAGACTTGAGCTAAGGCACATTTACAGGGGGCAGGGCCAGGAAATCCAAGGGTTGCATTCCAATGCTGCGTCACCCACCATGTACAATTTCCAGGAAAGTAGAAGCAGACGCTGAACTGCCCCTTTGGGGGGCCCAGGTTTGCAAGCCAGCGGTGCTCTCTGCACAACCCAGGAGAGGAGATGCACAGGGCCACACTTGTGGTGCTCAATGCACAGCCTCCCCTCCTGCAGGAAACTACGTGGGGAAAAACCCGCAATTCACACTGGCTGCCCCTTTTTTCCAGTTTGTCCTCCAGGGCAGGGGCTACGTGGGTACCGGGTGCTTGTCCTGGAAGAAGCGCTTGAGCGTGCAGACTTGCAGCACGGCCACCAGCAACAGCACTGCTACATTGACAGCTGACCAGAAGTTGACCCGCTCCAGGTTGCCTTCCTGCAGGTTGCGGTCCCGAGCCTCAAAGGCCCGCAGCAGTGTGAGCATCTGGATGCTGCGCTCCAGCCGGGTCCTCATGGTCTCGATGGATTCCTGCAGAGTGAGGGACAGAGTCAGGCCTCCAATAAAATGAGGAAACGGAGCAAGGCCATGTTGGGCAAGAAAGAGAACTGGGGACACACAACTTGGCCAGACTGCCTAAGTCTGAATCCTCACTCTGCCCCTCACTGGCTGTGTGACTATAAGCAAGTTAAATAACCTAAAGGCCTCAGTTCACTCTCTGCACTGCCCCCACCTTTGGTACTGGAGACTGAATTCAAGAGTGCTCTACTTTGAGCTACATCCCCAGCCATTTTTATTTTGAGACAGGGTCTTGCAAAATTGCCGAGGCTGGTCTCAAACTTGCAATCCTGTTGCATCAGCCTCAAGTAGCTGAAATTACAAGCACATGCCACCACATCCAGCTCTGTTCACTCTTCTATTAACCTCAGCATTGCTGTGGAAGTTGAATTTGTAGGGCAATGGAAGAAGGCTCAGTGGTAGAGTGCCTTCTTAGCATGCTTAAGATCCTCAGTTGGATTCCCAGTACCAAAAAATAAAAAGAAAAGAAAAAGAAAAAAATTGAATGTCTAGATACAACATATTTACTAGTGATTAACAGAATAATTGCTGCACCCAGGCACAGTGGCATACTCCTGTAATCCCAGAAGTTTGGGAGGTTGAGGAAGGAGAACTGCAAGTTCAACTTGCCAGTCTCAGCAACATAGGGAGATCCCATCTTAAAAAATAAAATGGGCTGGGGATGTAGTTCAGTGATAGAGCACCCCTGGGCTCAATCTCTAGTATCAAAAAAGAAAAAGATTATTGAAGTCACACTGCCCGAGTTCAAATGCCAGCTCTCACAGTGGCTAGTTGTGTGATCTTGTGTGAGCTACTTGACCATTTTGTGCCTCAGTTTTACTACCTATAATATGGCGAGACAGCACAGCCCCTAATTCATGGGGTGGTTTGGAGACTTGATATATGAGTTATTTGTGACATAACTATGCATTATTTAGCCTTAGAACAGCATTTACTCGTAGAAATAAGCTATTATTTTAACTGACATTAAGTTAAAATATTAAGGTGGGGACAGCACTATGTAGGTGAGTCAGAGTCAGGCCAAGAGGGAGACACCAGTCAAAGAGAAAGAGTAGAATGCTCTGCTGATAAATGCCAAAAAACGCAGCCCAGCTCAGCCTGGTCGCACCTTGATATCCTCCATTTTGACATCCAGCATCTCCTCTGGCTCCACAGCCTCTGCCCAGCCCTCTACCTCCTCATCGTCTTGCAAGCTGTCAAAGATGAGCTCGAAGAACACCAGCTTTTCGGAGATGGTGCTGAAGGAGTTGTCAAAGCACAGCTTGTAGTCCCCCGCCTCTGTAGGCTCCACACTGGGCAGACAGACACACAGACGTGACCATTAGTGCCAGCAAGACGGACTCTAGGGCAGGTAGGGCAGTAACCCGAGGCCCCTGCAGAGGGGCAGGGCTGTAACTGAACCCAGGCAGGGAGCAAGACTTAACTCACGTGTGCACCCCGTCAGCCTTTCGGGACTCGCTGACCAACAGCACACCTTGAGGGCTCTCCAGCGTGAAATCCACGTCCAGCCCAGCACCTCCGATCACCTAGGGGGCAGGTAAGAATGGGTAGAGATAGGAGTACACCAAGGGCACCTACAACTCACGTTCCCGGCTGAATCAACCTGCCCAGATGCACATAGACCACCGAGGGCCTGAGTGCTGACACCTATACCTACAAGCGGGTGGTGCCTCCCAACTGCTCCTCTAGCTGCACCCTTTGCCCTGCCTTAGTCCTCACTGATTTGACAGCCTCAGGGTAGATTTTTTTCATCAGGCCATACCCGTCAAAAGTCCTTGATCGATGTTTACCTCTCCGCGCTTTACTTGGCACTGCTCCAACTGAGATGCCACGGTCTTGCAATCTCCGAGAAACCCTCAAGTTGACCACTCCCTTTATTTTAGTCTACATATAATATGGCCACGCCCACTCGCGACGGTCCTGCCCTGAATGCCTTCCTTTACTTCCCATTGGCCCCGCCCCCTCAGCAGTCTCACCGTAGCCCCACCCTCTTCATTATTCCCACCCCTTCCGCTCCCACGAGCCACGCCGTCCGGCTAAGCGCTTCCTAGCCCCGCCCCCGCGTCATGCAATGGCTCCTCCCGCTTCCCGATTTAATGCACGCCTTGTCTAGCTGCTTGGCCACGCCCCCTCCCCCTGGCCCCCACTAGTTCGAGGGTCCGGGACCCTCTACCTGGTACTCGGCCTCGAGGCTTGCGTTTGCCGGCGCGGACTGGTAGAAGCACTGCTTCCTCCCCGCGGGCAACAAGAACGTGAACTCGCCGTCCTGGATCGGTGGGGGCCCTGCCCCTCCCACCCCCACTGGCGGCAATAGCAGCCACAGGGCCAGGAATAGGGCCGAGCCGGCCGCCATCATCCGGGTCACCCTCTGGTCTGCAAATGGGTCGCGGCTCCTTTAAGGGATAGCCCTGCCCACTCTGCTACTTCGCGGAGCTCATTGGTAGCCACTTCGTGTTGACTGACAGCTGCTGAGGGAACTGGGAAGGACCCCCTGAGAGAGGAGCTGTCCGGATAAGTGCCATATGCGAGTGAAAAGACTCAAACGAGAGACTTTTTTTCTGAAAGGCCTGAAACTGTAGTCTCAGTCGTTCGGGATGGGGAATAACAAAACTAAGCGCCATGATGGCACATATTTCGCAGGCCTCAGTTAAGACAACTAAGGTAGAGGTGGCCCGGGTCCTTCTAAAGCGCCTCGCTGAGGTTTTCCCAGAGTACACGGCGCCGGGACCGTTGGTCCATCTAGTCTGAACATAGCGGACCCGGGTTGCTTGACATGTCCCTGCGCGCGACCCGTAGGGCTCACTTATCTTCGTTGCGGCTAATGGTATTGTTGGTTACTAAGTATGGGCCGCCTCCCCCGGGATTTGACGCCCCACTTCCCATTCTGTGTACACCTTAGGCCAAAACTTTCAATTTTGTCTTTAAATTGGGGGCTATGATGCGCCCAACCCTTAGAACGGCTGTGAGAATTCAGTGAGAGGAGGTTGGAGGTTTGACCATAGTGAGCGCTTGGCTTTCCTTTTCAAGTCGACGTGGTTTCAGTTTGCATCCCATGGGTCTTAACTAGAGGACCCGCACATAAACTCAAGGCTCTGGGTCAGGAAAACGACAGCCATGGTGAGAAGAGGTGAAAGTGTGGGCCTGGGAGCCAGATTGCCTAATTCAAACCTCACTCCACCCTTCACTTAAGGCGATCGACCTGCTAAACCTCAGTTTTCTTGTCTGCAAAAGGGGGATAATGATAACCCCAGCTGTGAATAATAGCTGTCCCATTGGGCTGCTGTGGGGACTGAGATTGTGCTTGCCAAGTGCTTATTTTGCATTATAGTGCTTGGCAAATTTTAGGCTAGTGAATAATTTTTAATTGGTTCCTGGTTTATTGTCCTCCATTGAGCAGCCTGTCATT